AATACTCCAACTGAATATTCAAAAGGTGAATATCGTTTTGTTGGCATACACACCTCCACATGTCATCGTAAGTATTTGTTTTAATTTTTTTCTTGCAACAAAGTTTGATTTCACGATCTGAAGTGACGTTGGTTGAAATGACGTGCATACATGTCACCAAACTGTTAATGAGCGAAGGGATCACGCACCTATACCCGCGCTGGCCAAGGGCCATTACTAATAAGTCATGGCCCACATTTCCAACTAAAGACACCGACTTAACGCCGAATCTTGGATTCTGTTTCTTTCTATTGTTTTTAAGTCGTATTTACTCGCAACATTTGAACGAACCTGCGGGTCGTTTGTTCAGACAACAATGCATCACGGCCGCTCATATAAAATGGGGGACAAGGGGGGATGCCGGCAAGTCTAACTGTCTTCTCGGGAGGAGGAGAAGGAGAAAGAAACATTAAACAGCCGGATTATTAGAATACTCAAGACTGAAGGTGAGTTTGGAGTCTCCGCATACTGGCACCCAGGTCTATACATGGGTATACAGGGCTATACGTGGGTATACATGGGTATACATGGGTATACAGGGCTATACATGGGTATACATGGCTATACATGGGTATACAGGGCTATACATGGGTATACAGGGCTATACATGGGTATACATGGGTATACAGGGCTATACATGGGTATACAAGGCTATACATGGGTATACAAGGCTATACATTTGGCAGCCTCGAGGTACACGACAGTACATGTGACCTGGATATATATGCAATATATGAGCCAGGTGTGGGGCCCATGTTCTACGTTGCCTAGATCTATAGTAACCATTCTTACCTATGTATGTATTTGTACATTAAATGTTAAACGTTCTACACTAGTGTATGTTTTATTAATTAATGTAATACTACATGCTATTATCACAGATGTAGGCTGACTAAAGATTTACACATTCCAACTCCACAATCATGTTGTGAGAACGTGTTTCGTTTTTCTCAGAGCATACGACAAGGTTGGAGGGTGCGAAATGTTAAGTTGAAATGTTGTAAGGAAACTGTGGTAAAGAGATACCTTGGGGCGCGTTTCAAAATGACATCTCTTACAAAGCCTGCTGTTGAGTTCCTGCAGTTCTGCGACTGTGTGTAGAGTAACCATGATGCCACTGACAGATTATTAGCTATCATGTATTCTGTCCAGGAAAGCTTGCGGTAACTCTCCCTGTTAGACTGAAAGACTTAGTGTTGATCAGGTTCAAGTGATCATCCCAGCCAGAGTTATCATACCCTATTAGAACAGAGGCGTTGACTGTGACGCACTGTCATCGCACGGCAAATGGTCCTCCCATGTATCAGATATTGTTTCGTAATCCTCGTACACGATCTACTCAGTGAGCAAACCTAAATACTGCTTTACAGAACGCTTAGTGCGTTTCTACAGATTTACACGGTTTTCGTAAGACCTCACTTTGAGTGGGCATGCAAAGTCTGAGATCATTTTGGAAGAGGTCTAGGTTTACAGTTGGAAAGACTCCAGAGGAAACTGCCAGAATTACTGCAGGACTTCCCAAGTATTCTCCGTATAATTCACTGTATTATGAAACAGATTTGGAGACACTGTCAGAACGCAGAAAAATAAGAACATTGCCTCAAATCTGTAATATTCAGAACAACAAGAGTCCAAATTGCTTGAAAGAAAAAGTACCTCAGAGCTAGGATAGAGATTCATTATAATGTAAGAAATTCGGGAACTGTTACCTTGCCAAGGAAAGAAATTAACAAATATTTTCGGATCGATTTCAGAAGTAAAAATTGTTAAAACTCAAAATTGAATTCGAGAGTATAAAACATAATACCTCAGCTCGGTATTAGAAACTTGACGTACCGCACACGCAGCTGTGTCGTACTGCTGGTAAATTAAGTGAAGTACACAGCAGGGCTAATTACAGATCCTTCCTGCGTATGTGCACGAATGCTCCTTATCGTCTCTGGAAGTGTTCATTATATAATCAGAAAAATCATGTTTAAAGCTATTTGAAATGTTTGTGACAGTAATTCTGTGATAACATTTTTGTTTTTCGAACGGCATGGCAGATCTCATTACGTTTTGTATCATAATATTTCTCTTAACCTGCGTCTTTTGCTGATAGTTCCTTATGAAATAGTTTGCTATTGTAAATACTCTTGGAGACGGGTGATATAATTTGAAAGAACTTGTCTCCGATCCTTTTTACTTTATGAAATAGATTCTAGTGATGAGTCAAGGTTGTCATGGTTATCGATTTTAGTTTCATGCAATCATTTCGGGATTGGAAGTATGTGAAGAAGCACCAGCACCAGTGTCCGCTCCGTGCAGAGTACTGGTTGTACAGTCTACATGTATATAGACCCGCGCAAAGGCTGGCTGACCAGTGTCCGCTCCGTGCAGAGTACTGGTTGTACAGCCTACATGTATATAGACCCGCGCAAAGGCTGGCTGACCAGTGTCCGCTCCGTGCAGAGTACTGGTTGTACAGTCTACATGTATATAGACCCGCGCAAAGGCTGGCTGACCAGTGTCCGCTCCGTGCAGAGTACTGGTTGTACAGCCTACATGTATATAGACCCGCGCAAAGGCTGGCTGACCAGTGTCCGCTCCGTGCAGAGTACTGGTTGTACAGCCTACATGTATATAGACCCGCGCAAAAGCTGGCTGACCAGTGCAGTCCGCGCCGCTACAATATACGACTAGACTACAGTACAACCAGAAATTATTGAGAATTTAAAGATTGTAATTTTTTATATTTTTTTCACTCATTACTCATGTATTAATGTGAATATTAGCAGAACATAACTCCATATTCAAAGACAGGTGAACAGTTAGTATTTTGTCAAGTCACTAATGGCAGCAATAGAAAGTCGTGGTCCATGCTGTCCCAATATCGGAGCACCTCTTCTTTCATTTTAGCAATATTTGTCAGATTTGTCTTATTGACACTTTCCTTCATAAGTGCTCAAACATTGTCTATTGGATTTAAATCAGGGCTATAGCTTGGCCAATCTAATAATGTCATATTTTGGGTCCGAAACCAGACCTTTGAATGCTTTGAACGATGTTTTGGGTCGTTGTCCTGATGGAAAATCCTAAAATTTCCATTGAACACGTGAGCAGATGGAAGTAAATGTCCCTCGAGAATATCTGTGTACCGCTCACTGTTCATATTCCCTTCAAATACACAGAGGGGCGCTGTCCCTAACACAGATATGCCACCCCACACGTTAAATTTCGGACTGTACTTTGGGCGCTGATACAAAGGGTTTTTCAGTTTGTTTGGTCCAGAATTTCAGTGTATTAGGAAACAGCCACACAGAACTTTCATCTGAGAAAATCATATTGTCCCAGTTAAAATTTCTATGCTGTAAGCATCAGTTCAACCTTCGCTCCATTTGTTCAGGTTTCATGATCGGTGATGGAATTCCTCGACTTTTCTGCCAACCAATTGCCTGCAGCTCAGTTCTAATTGTCTCCTTACAGACAGCCACAGTTCCTCTATCAATCATATACAGCCTTAAGTTTTCTAAACTCCTTCGTTTGTTTTTAGAAACAAGAATACCAAGCCGCCTCCTGTCACCGACAGTCAATTTTCTGGGCCTACCTGCGCCTCCCTGGTGCTCAATGTCATATCCATTTGCAATATTTTTCAAAACACGATAAACAGTGGACAAAGGGATGCCTGTTCTACTTGAAATCACTTTAGCTGATCTGATGTCCTTGTTATAATACTCTAAAATCAACTTCCTCTTCTCTAAATCATACATACTGAGGATCACTGAAAATGTCGTCAGCTAGCAAGTAAACGGAGGGGGATAACCCTTCACAAACTAATGAAAGAGGATTAACGGAGTTGTCTCTCTTGAATGAAACCAAACACTTGATAGCTGGTCAAGGTTGTTTATGCTAAAATCAAATTAAACATATTCCTAAAATTCTCAATAATTTCTGGTCATACTATATACATCTCTCCCAGAGACTAGATAGACCGTGGTCGGTAGGTTCACAGAGACCGACATAGTGCGTGACTATAGTGTAAAAGGGTTCACTGTACCTGGGTGATATACCTATAGCTTGGACTACACGTACACCCGATTGTGTAGTTTATCCCTTGTAAATTTGGATGGTGGTTAGACTCTTTGCTTCACCCCATAGCACCCGGTGGCTCCCTCCGACTTCCTTCTGAAAAAGAAAATGAAGAGTCCCCGACAAAAGATTGTAGCTTGAAGGAGATTGGTAGAAAAGTTTCTACTGAACATTGTAGAAAACTGGCCGTGTGTAATCAAGGCACTGTATGTCCTGTAGGTTTCCCGCCTTTGTGGGGCCAGCACCAGGGATGAAGGCCACCCTCCATGGAAGCGAGTCTGTCACCATTGCCTATCATATAGAATGTACAGTGTTTAGCAGTAACGCCAATCTCCATGACGTCATCTATGACCCGTCATGTTAGTACCAAGGTCATGTAGCACCACCTAAATAAACCTTCAACACATTGTGATGCCATGTTATCAGCTGGTACATTCAGCGCCACGCTTTTGTCGATTCAATAGTTTCACTTGGTCAAATTAATCTAGTTTCTTCGTATTATTGTGATATTAACGGATCGATGTCCTGTGTTCAACATTCAAATATCGTCATGAAGTCTCGGAGCATTTCTTCTGCTCAAATTTTGCTCACTTTTTTTTCTAAACTTTTACAAGACTACAGGAGAAACCTTCACACGGTCGACCGCCGAACATTTGCGTAAAAAGGTGGAGCCTAATTAATCACTGTTTTCTTTAGCCCGCGTTCAGCGTATACATTTAATCGACCTTCCTGTTGTGTCAAGGACCAGTTAATTATGACAATAACTGCGACATGCACAGCCTGCGTCATCCCCCGATATAGACGGTGTTTGGTGCCAATACCTGGACACATGGGAACATTAACTTATAACCAGGGGGATTAGGGGGAATGAGGCAGTACACACCTGCCGCGACATGGACATCGTCAACGGCAGTAAATGTTCCTGGAGTGTGAACACAGTGTCTAGGTAAGTTGCCCAGTACTCACCAGGGTGCCACTTTGTCGTCATCAGGTTCGACCAGTTACTGACGTGAGAGCAGTTGACTACTGTCATGACTATTCTCATGGCATTGTAAAACTCGAGTAACCGGGTCAATGATGTATATACCCTGATGCCCATATACCCTCATCTCGTGTACACTTATACCTATCTGGTGAAGACTTATACACGTTTAGCTTCAGGAATATTGAGGTATTTTCATCACTATGTGCAGGTTCTATTCTTCGCGTAGTGGGGCATATCGCCATGTCGTGACTGATACTTGGAATTGCAATGGTTGTCTGTAAGACATGTCTGCAACACACACGGGCCATGTTCCGCTGGTCTACGGAAACTCAGAATATCTCGAGAATTGTGTCAGAAATGAGTCTAGGTCAATGCTTCCCAACATATCTGTCCTGTAAAGGTTACCCGTATATTTGTTCACTGAATGTATTCGCTTTCTCTGCTGTATGAGCCGGAGTGAAACATCTTGCGTGAAACATAATATCGGATTAATTTGGAAAATATATTTTTAGAGTTACTGTATAGTTCTGAAGTCATTGCTAACCTAATTGACACGTTTGGTATTTGCAGTCTTGTTCATTAATTGATCCAAAACAGATTGTCGTGTCCTGAATCGTATCAAACCGGGAGAAGACAATCCAGAGAGAATCCTCGCCCCAGTCTAACCTTGATATATACATGGCTGTATGTTGACCATTAGGCACACAGATACTTTGACTACAGGGAGAGATGAAATGAGGTATTGATCTGATCAATCGTTTAACGACAATCGCTTGGTCAGACTGGACCCCATCAATACGGACAGGTGAGACTGGACCTCCATCAATACGGACAGGTGAGACTGGACCCCCATCAATACGGACAGGTGTTTTCAATAGTTTTAGTGTCAACGTTTGTGTTTAAGTCGTAATACAAAGTTAATAAGAACACCTGTGTCCATTGTTTTCACTGTACTCCAAACATATCGAATGTTTTTGGACATTTTTTAAGTAATCGTTTCCAAATCCATAAGAAATCTCGGCTAAAAGTATAGTCCCTTGTGCAATTCCAGCTATATTCTGAGCATGTGTTTGTTTATTTGTTTAATACTACACTCAGCAATATTACAGTGGTCTGTATATGGACCCGACAATCCAGTAATTGTTGAAGGCAAAACATCCGTGTTTCAAATCATACCATCGAACGAGACAGTTCGGCTATAAATATAATGCCATATGACCTTCAAAGGGAACACATATACACTGAAATGTAATTTGATAATATCTAATGTATTCAATGTTATATTGGATTAAATCACATTTTCAATTGTGAACGTATTTCCCAGATGTGTATCATGAATGAAAGAATATTTTTGCAACAGTTAACCCACTGCTCACATTAACAGCAAACACTGGTGTGGATAACGGCTTTTATAAAAAAATAAACAACATAAGTATTTGCTTTGCGTGGAGACACAATGTCTGACACAAATTTCAGGTATTTGGCGTGAGCTCTTTTTAATGTCACTTCTTTCCAAGCTTCAAATTGTCACAACTAGGAGCAAAAAATATGTTCATTTTTTGCAATGATAGAACGTGTCCAAACAGTGATGACGACATCCCCCTGCATCGTGCGGTGTGACAACGACAACGTCTTACAGCCCCCTCTTCCAGCTACACTGTGTTGTCACCTGTAACGACCGGAACCCAGGGCCGGCCCAGACCTCCACACTCGCCGGAGTGTGTTCATTAATGGCATTATAACAAGCGAATGATGAGGAAGATATCACATTGTCTTGTTTCATGTGGTTTGTTTTCTGCACGGAGAATCCCATGGCTGACATGTTGCATACCGTCAGTGAACCTGCAGACGCCTTACACAGATGTAACCCATACATGCGCCGACGTCTAGGAGATTCCGGATGTTGACGGATATATGTGGGAACGTTTCACGAAACCACACGAAAGTTATATCCTTTGTGCAATAGTTCATAGATTACTGTATTGTTTTATGTCAGGGACATAATTTAATCATGTATCTGCTACTCCCATAATCATCTATGGTCTATATTCCCAGCTCCAGGTGTATCTACCCTGTAGTGCCGATAGTACCCCACACAAACATGTGCAAAGGGAAGATAACTATCCAAATGAAAAACTGGTAACTGACAGATCTGACTTTGGTCCTGTTGCGTCAAAGTTGGTCCTCTTCGAGACGCTCTTTAAGTCTTTGTTAAAAGAAAACATACTTTATTTGGATGTCAAAGTCGTGAAACCTAGACATAGAAAGTGATGAACTTGGAGCTTCTGGAATAGTGCTCCAGCTCAAGGGAAAGTTCATTTTTTTAAAATCATTTAAAGCCAAATACTTTAGTACTCATGCACCAACATATGAAAAAGATTTGGTATCTATATTTTATTTTATCCTATCTGAAGTAGACAATAGGTGGACGGAACTGTCTGCTTGACCATTGTTAAACAAGTCTTGGCACTCAACCGAGGGAGGTATACAGAAACAATGGTTTGTTTCACCATCAAGTTCAAGTCATTCCAGTCTGCGTGTTGTGTGATAAGGACACTTTGGAACACCTCTGAAGTCACAAGTTTGTAGGACAGACAGTGGCGTCATTGTAGTGGTTGGTACACAGATCTCAGGTCATGGCTTTGTAAGAGAGACATTGGGCTCACTGGCTGTGCTTATCTCAAACATCAGATATAATATCCTTTCAAGGACAGATCGTGTTGCTAATGGAGGGTACACGAAATATGCGTATGATGTTTCGAAAAATGACATTTAAGAGACGACATGTGATAGCCGACCTATATATGCAAGGTAGAAACAAGAGCTGACTGCATTGATAGTCATTCAAGTATTCCATGTTGTATTTGAGGGGAGATTTTTGTGTACCCTGCAAGTACATGTGCAGCTACCATGTCGAATCTTCTTATACTGCTTGGGCAATCAGTCAATATTTATTGGGAAAAAGTTTTTGAAACAATTGTTTGCACAACCTCCAGTCCCGACACGAATCTTATCCTTACAGCTCTCGTCTCTGCTTGAGACAACGTGTGTCCTGACATTCCCGTGTTTATCAGCAGGAGCTGGTTAATGGGCAATGTAAGTTTGCCCAGTTGCAACACGTGTACCTAACAAACTGCCGCTCTCAACCTCAAATACGCCTTGCTTCCTTTAGCCAATCAGCACTAGATGCCATTTTGAGAAGATTGTAATTTTTTTGGAAACATACGTTTTTGAGATTCTTTAGAGCAGGATGCATGACCCCTCTAATAAGGAAGGGAACATTAGAAACCAACATTTAACACTGGGGTCCACCGTCATCTTAATATCTGGACACTAATCCCCATCTCTAATCTGGACAGGCAACTAGGAAATATTGTCAGGATTTCCTGGCTCGACTCTTTCAGAGGATCTATGTAAATACATTCACTACACTAATCCGTATAATACCGAGATACCAGTATAATAAAGATAAACATAAATAATTATGTTGCGGTTTGATTATAAATATAACACTTGGTTGCATCTAGTATTGAACGTCTTCTGTTGCATTACAAAACATATCAGGATGCATCAGGAAGAAGAATCCGCTTACTTGATTCCTAATTCGCGGATTAATCGTTCGTGTAAATACGGACACAATTGGCATTTAGGCTCTTAAGTCTAAATTTGGACTCCACCACCGTCATGTATGCTCCCCGTGCCAAACTGAATATAAGTCAGATAACAAAACATCTTCGAGACATTCCTGTTGTCGAGACTCACAGCCTGTTGTCTACCGGAATATGACATACAAATGAGAACCGTCTTTTATCGGTGAAGGATATCATATATGGACTACATATATGCTGAACCAATACTGGTTTTGCTTTATTTGTGACAATTCTCATATTTGTGACATTTGGAAAATAATTTCTTTTTGTTTGAAAGGACTGGTTTTGTCGTAAGTTCTTACCTTGTTTTCGTTAACAGACAATTATGTCGACTCAAGCGAACATCGACACTGAAGACAGTTTGTGTCGTCTGATCACCACCTATTTCCCACATCCGGGTACCTTGCACTGTGGATGTTCTGTGGAAACAGACGACTCAAAATGTCTCTGGTGGCGATGTGGCGATTTTGTGTGTCATATATCTTTTTGTAATCACATCAAATTGTATGTTCATAGGTATTTACATTTCTTATACAAGTGTTAGCGTTACTGAAGTATTCCCACTGACAAATACCAATGCAACATCTAACGACGATATACCCATCTTACCTCTATCACTAAACCCTCGCTGTCATATATCTGCTGCAAAACTTTCCTTTATATCTGGTTACTCAGCCTCGGAAAAATCACAGGAATATGCTTTTTATGCTTTGTGTTCCCTGTAGGCGACAGTTGCGATATTTTACAGAATAACACATTGTTACTAATGAAATATTTTCAAAAGTGTGACATAGTTTTGCGTACATATTTGTTCTATATTTGTTGGCTTTTTCCAAGTAGGCCTTCTCGTACCAAGTGTTGTATATTTGTGTACCTCGCCCTGCTCAGGCCGTTTAAGTTAAATCCATTGTTTACACATTATCTATGAGCAAACGTTTGTTTCTCACCCAACTGCTGTATCTACGTGAAGAGATGCCCTGGCGACCTAGAGGTCAGGTGATGTAACAACAGGCCGTGACGTCATGTTTGCGGCACGTGCCCACGTCTGTTTAGGATCCAGTCGCTAGTATTTGCTGCTCTGTGTATGGTCGAGGCAGGCAACTAGGAGTTAAAAACCCCCGTCCGGATGCCAGTGGTTAGAATTCCACGTTTGGAGAGGATTTACAAATACTTTCAGCTATTTTTGAATATCCAGATCGGAAAGTTTCATTTCTAGCCTCCCCGTCCAGTGAGAGAGAGCTCTACTCTCTCTGTCTGTTGTTTCAGGAGAATGATCTACCTCCAGACGCTGTGCCTACTATTGGCTGGTCTTCACACTGCCTACTCTCAAGACAAAAAGAGCCATGGTAGGATTTTTCTTATTCATGGCTATTCTCATGTACAAAACTGTGTATAAGCATGCGAAAATAACCGATCATGGTATCAGCCATCTGAACTTGCTTTCATATTTTTTTAAATTTTGTCCTAACATGTGTGTAAACATACGTGGGAAGTCTAGCATGGGGCGTATTGTCACAGCCACTGAGATATCACCATATACTTAGCTAAGATCATTATAAATAATCAAATGACAAAAGATTATGAACATATTTATGAACTGAACATGTTTCCCTTTTAGCAAATCTTCAACTCTTTGATCGAAGACATACATGCTGTCGGAAATAGTTATATTGTGGTATGTTTCTGTTGTACAAATGATTCACACCTCTCCCCCGAGTAACGGATTCTGTAATATTTCAGCTATCGCCACAACTACAGGTGACAAGAAGATATTCTGCTACTACAGCAGTTCAGCAAACGCTCGACCGAGTGTTGGGAAGTTTTGGCCGGAGCATTTAGACCCATTCCTCTGCACACATATTATCTTTGCCTTCGTCGATATCACTGAAGATGGAAAGGATCTCAAACCCAACAACTGGAACGATTTGGGGGCTGATGGTAAATTCTAAACTGATGATAGACAGATTAGTGGCAGGAAGCATGTCTGTGGGGCTTAGCATTTTCTGGATAGGCCACCATACAGGCTGATTGTAGGACCTGCTGTACACAAGCATTGGTGGACTGTCTTGTCTGAGATTAAACACCTCTTTTATCAGACATGTTAATGTGTCTATATACAGGTCATACCAAGGGTTTTTAACGATGAATAAGGTGCAGTCCTTCTATAGCAGCTCTACCAACTGGAGTCTGAACGCCTGGTCACAATAGTTGGTCCTGCTCTTCCAGCACACACAGTGTCTCAGTCATTGAACGATCACTTAATGGTTTATCCATGGCGTCATGCAAGAATATCCACCCTCCACAGAATGTAGGCATACGTCTTTACTCTTGTTTTTTGTTTTGTTTTTTGTTTGTCTGGTCCAGACTCGATTATTTACAGAATGACGTCTTTAAGTTAAGCGTTAAGCGACTAGCATTTTGTTACGAACGGTACAAATGATTCTTTAGACTGAATAATGTAAAACACTGTTATAACTTGAATGTTGAATGTAGGCCTGTATGCACGGACCATGAAGCTGAAGGAGAAGAACCCCAAGCTGAAGATCCTGCTGGCTGTGGGCGGGTGGAAGATTGGCTCCAAGCCCTTCATCCCCATCATGGAGAGCGAGGAGAACATGAAGGCCTGGGTCAAGAATGTCGTGAAGTACCTGAGGAAGTGAGTACTTTAACGGCAACGCAACTATAGGAGACATAATATATTACAAAGGGGGCAAATGCAACATATGTTCTACCAGTGATTTTCGCAGATACCTTTGAACAACAGACTCATGACGATTTGAAATCTTGGTAAAAAGAACATGCTCGATTGTACCTAAAAATATGTGACACCGAAGGTGATGGAACATTGCACGACATAAAGTGTGTGACACCAAAGGTGATGAAATATTGCTCGACATAAAGGGAAAGGCTGACGGTTGTAGTTGAAGACATTCCACTTGTAGGCTGTTTGTCACTCTGAATCTTTATGCATCGATTTAACTGTGAAATAGACGAGGCGGTCTTCTCGGTCTGCTTTATGTCTTACTTAGGTGAGTAAATCAGTGGAAAGGAATCTCATACTTATAGTGTGAGGATGCAGTGGACAGCTGTGATCCTTCTGACAATGATGGTGGTACTGGATGGGGTGAATTACACCAAATGAATGTAAACAATATGGGTGATGTATTTTAGAAATGTAGCCTGTCATCCTGGTATGTCATCTTCTGTGACGTTTAGTTGGGGATGATGATGTTGTGTGCGGGGCCGGACAGCGGCAGCAGTATCAGGTGTAATGCATCGACTCGTCAAATATTGTAGAAATCATTGTCAAAAACATCGACTGTAATAACATTGATTTTGGTTTGTTGTTTAAAGCCACACTCAGCAATATTCCAGCTGTATGGCAGCGTTCTGTAAATAACAGAGTCTAAACCAGAAAATCCAGTGATGAGCATCGTTCAAGTCAGCGAGTCTGACCACCCGATCCCGTTAGTCGCCTTACCACAGGCATGGGTTACTGAAGACAAATTCTAATCTGATCTCACGGGTCGACTGTATAACATATCAGGACAGCTGCTGCAGAGCAACAAGAGTGAAAGACCATAATGTGAAATTAAATAAATAAGATTAACGGATTGGGATAAATGGGATGAACTATGGAACAACGTTTGATGACACTTCCTTATGTTCCCCAGATACGGTTTTGACGGTCTGGATATGGACTGGGAGTTCCCTGCTTGGCGAGGCAGCAAGCCTGAGGACAAATATGGCTTCACCATCTTGATGAAGGTAATACATGGCTACCATTAATCTACATGTTCCTGGAAAGCGACATACAAGTAGATAGTGGAATATACACCGCCTCACTCACACACTCACTATCCACGCACAGTTGGTACATTGATGCAAGGTTGGTGGAATCAAGAACACGTGTGAGATGAAATGTCACGACGTGTAGCTAGTTATTACATTTGGTCACACGATATGACACTATCTATTGTATATTTTACGCAATACTATTATGTTGTGTGGTGTCATCACGTAACTAGGTGTGGCACTATGGAGCAGTCAGTTGCTACACCAGCCTGTAACAGGTTGTAACACATATGGTGTAGACAGATTATCATGTTTTAGTGCTGTCAAACAGTAACATAACGCTGTATTTGTGGGGTATCTACAAGAAAGGTGTACAATCAATCGATCGATCAATCGATCAATCAATCAACCAATCAATCAATCTTTATTCCGTACGGAGGAGGCCACAAGCCTATAGTACATAAAGCATACACACATTTATATTCACCCTAGAAGTAACATTTACATTTTTTTCAAAGATTATGTTTTCTTATTAATGTTGCATGAAATATAAACATGGATAAATTCTGAAGCATTAAACTGTTTGTACTTGTTAGTAAATATGTAAATTTAATAATGTTTGGATATCTATAAAATGATTTGGTAAATATGTACAGCGGACAAACAAGAAGGAAATAGTATTCACCTTCGACACAGTTGGCATAGTCTCTCTTGTCGATTAATATTAGTATAGTGTCCAGTTTCTATACATAAATCATGAGATGAGGTGATGGTGCAACTCGGAACTTCTTTACTGTTATCTTGGAGAGATACCAGTCCAAACTGATTTGCGCTTTAAAAGTTTGTAATAAAATCATTTATTTGATAAAGTCAGAGATCCAAACCATGTCTGCACATGAATATACTTAAGTCTTTGAGTCAGTGACATGGTAAAGTTAGGTACGAATAAGATTAACGGATTTGATAAATGGGACGAACTATGGAACAACGTTTGATGATACCAGCTAACGTTTTGGTCATACCATGCGTTACCGAACCGGTTTTAAACAGCAATGTTTTTATATACGTTACCCAATTATTTTGTTTCATTACTGTAATATTGTCATTATCTATGTGCAGGCATGTTAAACAATCTTAACCAGTATTTGATAGCCTTAACTAGAAAAAATATGTACATTGGGAATCTACCACAGTCATCATAGACCCTAACACTAGATGCATCTACGTCAAGAAATCGTTTACAGACATATAAATGGACCTTTTCTATGGCATCGAAATGCTGTAAGCCCCAGACTTCAGATTCATACATGCTTATTGTAGCATCGAATATTTACTGCTTATAGATACATATTGACACCTTCTGAGCTTGTATGGCTACAGCTTTCGTTTTATCTTTGTTTCCACTTAGTTTCCAATTATCACAATAATATTCTAATTAATCCATTTGTCTCTAGACCATTAAAAGTACTGGAAAATAATACGATATCATCTGCAACTGAAAGCAAAAACAGCTGCGTAATATCAGGATGTAGCTGGATGCCATGATTGCATTTTTCATGAATTTGAGTTTCTAATTACTTTATGAAGAAACTAAATAGAATAGGACTTAGGATACAGCCCTGTCTTACTCCTACCTGGCATTTGAAACTTCATTATTATTTCTTACACATAATTTACATTTTTATAAATGCTGCATAATAGTTTATTTATTTTCCTACTTAAACCATTCCATAAAGATTCCATAGTTTATTTCTATTTACCGCGTCAAAAGCTTTCGAAAAATCTACAAAATAAGCATAAAATTTAGCACCTTTAGTGCTTAAATATTTTTTGACGTATCAAACTGTAACATAACGCTGTATTCGTGGGGTATCTACAGCCATGGTGTAGCAGCATATTGTAGAACTACGTGTCAAACTGTCACATATTTGTCGGGTGTCTACAAGCATGGTCTGGTTCCAGGGACTGTATGACGCATTTACTGAGGAGTCCAAGGCGTCGGGGAAGGACAAGCTGGTCTTGACTCTAGCCACAGCATCCAGCACATTCTACATCGACAAGGCCTACGAGGCATCAGAAATATACAAGTAAGTTGCCGTTAGCTACTGGTCATAGTGATGCCTTTAGCCTGTGTAGCAGCTGTGTGTGACATATATCGCCCACAACAGTCAAGCTGACAAGTTGATTATATCATGACACATGAATGTTTCGGTAGTGCTAAATATCCTCGACGGTCTTGTGTATCACCATCTTCATATCATAGAGTATGTAACTTCACGACTGGCTTATTCAGGAAGTAATACGGTCGTCACATAACGTCACAACAATCCACCATGATACCTAATAACATCACTCAAAGAGGTTTCACGTGTGTATGTTAACTGTCAGAACGTTCACACTGTCACCTACTGGCTGGCTGAACGTTCACACTGTCACCTACTGACTGTCTGACTGTTCACATTGTCAGCTGCTGACTGTCTGACAGTTCTCATTGTCAGCTGCTGACTGTCTGACTGTTCACATTGTCGGCTGCTGGCTGTCTGACTGTTCACATTGTCAGCTGCTGACTGTCTGACAGTTCTCATTGTCAGCTGCTGACTGTCTGACTGTTCACATTGTCGGCTGCTGACTGTCTGACTGTTCACAGTGTCAGCTGCTGACTGTCTGACAGTTCTCATTGTCAGCTGCTGACTGTCTGACTGTTCACATTGTCGGCTGCTGACTGTCTGACTGTTCACATTGTCAGTTGCTGACAGTTCTCATTGTCAGCTGCTGACTGTCTGAACGTTCAATTTGTGCAGGTATATCGACTACATGCTGCTGATGACGTACAACTACCACGGGTCCGGCTGGGAGAAAACCGTGGGTCACCACAGTCCGCTCCTCCCACACAGGAGTGATCCCGAGGGTGAACAGAGGCAGTTGTACCAGGTGAGATGACTTAACGTCTGGCGGAAAAAGAGAATACCTGAAAACCACAGGCCCTCGTGTCTTTGCGAGGATTAAAGATGTTAAAAAAACATATAACATTTGAGATGACCCTCGACTCGAAATGCTTCACAGTACAATACATCATAATGTATTGTAATATTTTTTGAATCGTTAATCTTCGCAAGGACACGAGGGCCTGTGCTGAAAACAGCAGTAACTGAAATGGCATAGCTACCTTATGACCACTTTTACAAATTCTGTTTGATCAAAAAAGGAAATATACGCGCAATGTCAGTCATAGTCTATGCATGGGTCCAGAACACTTAGTATAATGATTGTAAAGGCTTCCACATTGTATAATGATTATATAGGCTTCCATATTGTATAATGATTATATAGGCTTCCATATTGTATAATGATTACAAAGGCTTCCGTATTGTATAATGATTAAAAAGGCTTCCGTATTGTATAATGATTAAAAAGGCTTCCGTATTGTATAATGATTAAAAGGCTTCCGTATTGTATAATGATTATAAAGGCTTCCATTGTTAATGATTATAAAAGCTGATAATGATTATAAAGCTTCCGTATTGTATAATGATTAAAAAGGCTTCCGTATTGTATAATGATTATATAGGCTTCCGTATTGTATAATGATTATAAAGGCTTCCACATTGTATAATGATTATAAAAGCTTCCATGTTGTATAATGATTATAAAGGCTTCCGTATTGTATAATGATTATAAAGGCTTCCACATTGTATAATGATTATAAAGGCTTTCACATTGTATTTTGAACTTGGTTGATCTGTTTATAAAGGTGATTAAGGTAGACCATATTTCCGTTTCAGCAATGGTCCATCAGTTACTGGTTGAAGATCGGTGTTCCCAAGTCCAAGCTGATTGTGGGACTCCCAACATACGGCCTCGGGTACAAGCTGACGGACGAGAAGAATCACGGGATAAGGTCTAGTGCCGAGGGCGGAAACACGAAAGGAAAATACACTGGCGAATCTGGCATTCTGTCACTGTACGAGGTATGCACACACACACACATATGTCAATCATATCTCACGGCTGCCCCCTCTCCTCGCACTTGTTCATTCGCACGTCCATATCAACCCGCCAATACATACATAATTCACATAATATATATATATATATATATATATATAATATATATATATAATACAGAGCTACAGATAACTTTTTGGGTCATTGAGTTATGTACTCGCTTGTGTTCATCTCAATTGGGTATCCTAATTTTCCTTTGAGTAACCAAATAAATTGTACTCACCTCACTCAAACTCAATTGGGTATTTTGCCATTTTCCATTAATTTTAAAAATATAATAAAGTTTAAATGTTAGTGTTTGTTATTTATGTTTCATCTGTAATATGAAAAATTATAAGAAAGACTGCAAGTTGTCACGTTCATGTCCTGAAATAGAACCTCTCAATATACCTCAGTTATTTTATCTATCCACCGGTACCCAAGCTAAGATTTGACATTTTTGTGTGTACGCATGTAAGATCACATTTATTGAGTATTTACAAAAATTCAAGCGTACTTGTACGCAATAGACTTAATAGGAATTGAGTTTTCCCAAAAACAATTGCGTAATTTACGCAGATACGCAGCTTATCTGTACCTCTGTTATATATCTATCTATATCTATATCTATATCTATATATATCTATCTATCTATCTATATATATATATATATATCTATATATCTATCGATATATCTATCTATGTATCTATATTATAATATGTGTTGTATGAAAGAAATGGTAGTGATAGGACAATGGACATTTGGGTTGTTTTTTAACTTTATAACAGAAGAAAACATGCACATGCACGCATTTTGTTAAACTGACTGGAGTCTGATCTACATAGTCATCCATCAAACAATAACCTTACCGTCTACGTCAATGTAAGGCAATAAGTTAAAACAACATAGTATCTGACTATTTAGTATTTCCTGTGAAGATCTGTGACAAAATCTGTCTATCTCTATATATTGTACACACATGCATCTCTCTGATACACCCCGTATTATCTGTCAGATGTAGATCTGTGACAAGATGAATTGATCTATACATCTAATATTCCCCTTATTGCCTGATGTAGATCTGTGACAAGATGTATTTGTTCTACACATCTAATATTCCCCTTATTGCCTGATGTAGATCTGTGACAAGATGTATTTGTTCTACACTTCTAATATTCCCCTTATTGCCTGATGTAGATCTGTGACAAGATGTATTTGTACTGCACATAGAATATTCCCCTTATTGCCTGATGTAGATCTGTGACAAGATGTATTTGTACTGCACATAAAATATTCCCCTTATTGCCTGATGTAGATCTGTGACAAGATGTATTTGTTCTACACATCTGATATTCCTTTTATTGCCTGGTGTAGATCTGAGACAAGATGTATTGTACTGCACATAGAATATTCACCTTATCGCCTGATGTAGATCTGTGACAAGATGTATTTGTACTGCACATCTAATATTCCCCTTATTGCCTGATGTAGATCTGTGACAAGATGTATTTGTTCTACACTTCTGATATTCCCCATATTGCCTGATGTAGATCTGTGACAAGATGTATTTGTTCTACACTTCTAATATTCCCCTTATTGCCTGATGTAGATCTGAGACAAGATGTATTTGTTCTACACATCTGATATTCCCCTTATTGCCTGATGTAGATCTGTGACAAGATGTATTTGTTCTACACATCTAATATTCCCCTTAGTACCTGTCAGATGTAGATCTGTGGCAAGATGTATTTGTTCTACACATCTTATATTCCCCTTATTGCCTGATGTAGATCTGTGACAAGATGTATTTGTTCTACACATCTTATATTCCCCTTATTGCCTGATGTAGATCTGAGACAAGATGTATTTGTTCTACACATAAAATATTCCCCTTATTGCCTGATGTAGATCTGTGACAAGATGTATTTGTTCTACACATCTTATATTCCCCTTATTGCCTGATGTAGATCTGAGACAAGATGTATTTGTTCTACACATCTGATATTCCCCTTATTGCCTGATGTAGATCTGTGACAAGATGTATTTGTTCTACACATCTAATATTCCCCTTATTGCCTGATGTAGATCTGTGACAAGATGTATTTGTTCTACACATCTAATATTCCCCTTATTGCCTGATGTAGATCTGTGACAAGATGTATTTGTTCTACACTTCTAATATTCCCCTTATTGCCTGATGTAGATCTGTGACAAGATGTATTTGTTCTACACTTCTAATATTCCCCTTATTGCCTGATGTAGATCTGTGACAAGATGTATTTGTTCTACACATCTAATATTCCCCTTATTGCCTGATGTAGATCTGTGACAAGATGTATTTGTTCTGCACATCTAATATTCCCCTTATTGCCTGATGTAGATCTGTGACAAGATGTATTTGTTCTACACATCTAATATTCCCCTTATTGCCTGATGTAGATCTGAGACAAGATGTATTTGTTCTACACATCTAATATTCCCCTTATTGCCTGATGTAGATCTGTGACAAGATGTATTTGTTCTACACATCTAATATTCCCCTTATTGCCTGATGTAGATCTGTGACAAGATGTATTTGTTCTACACATCTAATATTCCCCTTATTGCCTGATGTAGATCTGTGACAAGATGTATTTGTTCTACACATCTAATATTCCCCTTATTACCTGATGTAGATCTGTGACAAGATGTATTTGTTCTACACATCTAATATTCCCCTTATTGCCTGATGTAGATCTGTGACAAGATGTATTTGTTCTACACATCTTATATTCCCCTTATTGCCTGATGTAGATCTGAGACAAGATGTATTTGTTCTACACATCTAATATTCCCCTTATTGCCTGATGTAGATCTGAGACAAGATGTATTTGTTCTACACATCTAATATTCCCCTTATTGCCTGATGTAGATCTGTGACAAGATGTATTTGTTCTACACATCTAATATTCCCTTTATTGCCTGATGTAGATCTGTGACAAGATGTATTTGTTCTACACATCTAATATTCCCCTATTGCCTGATGTAGATCTGTGACAAGATGTATTTGTTCTACACTTCAAATATTCCCCTTATTGCCTGATGTAGATCTGTGACAAGATGTATTTGTTCTACACTTCTAATATTCCCCTTATTGCCTGATGTAGATCTGTGACAAGATGTATTTGTTCTACACATCTAATATTCCCCTTATTGCCTGATGTAGATCTGTGACAAGATGTATTTGTTCTACACATCTAATATTCCCCTTATTGCCTGATGTAGATCTGTGACAAGATGTATTTGTTCTACACATCTAATATTCCCCTTATTGCCTGATGTAGATCTGTGACAAGATGTATTTGTTCTACACATCTAATATTCCCCTTATTGCCTGATGTAGATCTGTGACAAGATGTATTTGTTCTACACATCTAATATTTTCCCTTAGTACCTGTCAGATGTAGATCTGTGACAAGATGTATTTGTTCTATACATCTTATATTCCCTTTATTGCCTGATGTAGATCTGTGACAAGATGTATTTGTTCTTCACATCTTATATTCCCCTTATTGCCTGATGTAGATCTGTGACAAGATGTATTTGTACTGCACATAGAATATTCCCCTTATTGCCTGATGTAGATCTGTGACAAGATGTATTTGTTCTTCACATCTAATATTCCCCTTATTGCCTGATGTAGATCTGTGACAAGATGTATTTGTTCTACACATCTAATATTCCCTTTATTGCCTGATGTAGATCTGTGACAAGATGTATTTGTACTGCACATAGAATATTCCCCTTATTGCCTGATGTAGATCTGTGACAAGATGTATTTGTTCTACACATCTAATATTCCCCTTATTGCCTGATGTAGATCTGTGACAAGATGTATTTGTTCTACACATCTAATATTCCCCTTATTGCCTGATGTAGATCTGTGACAAGATGTATTTGTTCTACACATCTTATATTCCCCTTATTGCCTGATGTAGATCTGTGACAAGATGTATTTGTTCTGCACATCTGATATTCCCCTTATTGCCTGATGTAGATCTGTGACAAGATGTATTTGTTCTACACATCTGATATTCCCCTTATTGCCTGATGTAGATCTGTGACAAGATGTATTTGTTCTACACATCTAATATTCCCCTTATTGCCTGATGTAGATCTGTGACAAGATGTATTTGTTCTACACATCTAATATTCCCCTTATTGCCTGATGTAGATCTGTGACAAGATGTATTTGTTCTACACATCTAATATTCCCCTTATTGCCTGATGTAGATCTGTGACAAGATGTATTTGTTCTACACATCTAATATTCCCCTTATTGCCTGATGTAGATCTGTGACAAGATGTATTTGTTCTACACATCTAATATTCCCCTTATTGCCTGATGTAGATCTGTGACAAGATGTATTTGTTCTACACATCTAATATTCCCCTTATTGCCTGATGTAGATCTGTGACAAGATGTATTTGTTCTACACATCTAATATTCCCCTTAGTACCTGTCAGATGTAGATCTGTGACAAGATGTATTTGTTCTACACATCTGATATTCCCCTTATTGCCTGATGTAGATCTGTGACAAGATGTATTTGTTCTACACATCTAATATTCCCCTTATTGCCTGATGTAGATCTGAGACAAGATGTATTTGTTCTACACATCTAATATTCCCCTTATTGCCTGATGTAGATCTGTGACAAGATGTATTTGTTCTACACATCTTATATTCCCCTTATTGCCTGATGTAGATCTGAGACAAGATGTATTTGTTCTACACATCTGATATTCCCCTTATTGCCTGATGTAGATCTGTGACAAGAAGTGTATTGTTCTACACATCTAATATTCCCCTTATTGCCTGATGTAGATCTGTGACAAGATGTATTTGTTCTACACATCTAATATTCCCCTTATTGCCTGGTATGTAGATCTGTGACAAGATGTATTTGTTCTACACATATCTAATATTCCCCTTATTGCCTGATGTAGATCTGTGACAAGATGTATTTGTTCTACACATCTAATATTCCCCTTATTGCCTGATGTAGATCTGTGACAAGATGTATTTGTTCTACACATCTAATATTCCCCTTATTGCCTGATGTAGATCTGTGACAAGATGTATTTGTTCTACACTTCTAATATTCCCCTTATTGCCTGATGTAGATCTGTGACAAGATGTATTTGTTCTACACTTCTAATATTCCCCTTATTGCCTGATGTAGATCTGTGACAAGATGTATTTGTTCTACACAAGATCTAATATTCCCACTTATTTCCCTGATGTAGATCTGTGACAAGATGTATTTGTTCTACACATCTAATATTCCCCTTATTGCCGGATGTAGATCTGTGACAAGATGTATTTGTTCTACACATCTGATATTCCCCTTATTGCCTGATGTAGATCTGTGACAAGATGTATTTGTTCTACACATCTAATATTCCCCTTATTGCCTGATGTAGATCTGTGACAAGATGTATTTGTTCTACACATCTAATATTTTCCCTTAGTACCTGTCAGATGTAGATCTGTGACAAGATGTATTTGTTCTATACATCTGATATTCCCTTTATTGCCTGATGTAGATCTGTGACAAGATGTATTTGTTCTTCACATCTTATATTCCCCTTATTGCCTGATGTAGATCTGAGACAAGATGTATTTGTACTGCACATAGAATATTGCCCTTATTGCCGGATGTAGATCTGTGACAAGATGTATTTGTTCTTCACATCTAATATTCCCCTTATTGCCTGATGTAGATCTGTGACAAGATGTATTTGTTCTACACATCTTATATTCCCCTTTTTGTCTGATGTAGATCTGTGAGAAGATCCAGCACGAAAACTGGAAAGTGGAGTGGATCCTTGACCAGAGAGTACCGTACGCCCACGGCAAGGGAGAATGGGTCGGCTTTGAGTCTCCCGACAGCATAGCACTGAAGGTAATGTACCTCCTGATGATGTACGTTCCATGTATCCCATACATAGCGGCCAGGTACATCAATACATCCGTCATCTGCTTGTGAGTGTAAACTAAGTGTTCCTCGTGAGCTATTCCATAGTGCACCATTACTCAGTATTTTGTTTTATCCCATAGTTGCCAAGATCCGCAGATAATTGGCTGGAGTGCCCCACGTTTCACTACTGTTGTTAATGTGTAGTCTCAGCACCACTAGACATGTCCGTCCAGAAGATACTTCGAGGGCCTGACAATTGCTGCTTCGTGGTCACTTAGGGTGATCATTTTGTGAAGCCAGTCAGACTTTACGGCCTCGTAACAAGTCACAGCGAAGCGCTGATTGCTTTTCAAAAACTGACCATGCTCAGGCAGTTCTGAATATAAGTTATAAAGACCGTGCTGTCATGGTGCTGTGGATATTTAATACAGCCATTCGGTATTGAGCGCCGTGTCGACGTATTTTTGCTACGAATCGAGTCTGTAGATAAAGTCGAAACGTTGTAGAAAGCTGACACGTGACTATCTGAAGTACTGATACACGTGACTATCTGAAGTACTGATACACGTGACTATCTGGAGTACTGATACACGTGACTATCTGAAGTACTGATACACGTTACTATCTGGAGTACTGATACACGTTACTATCTGAAGTACTGATACACGTTACTATCTGGAGTACTGATACTATCTGTTACTGATACACGTGACTACTGATACTGACACCTGACTATCTGAAGTACTGATACACGTGACTATCTGAAGTACTGATACACCTGACTATCTGAAGTAAGTACTGACACACTGATACTGACTATCTGAAGTACTGATACACCTGACTATCTGAAGTACTGACACACCTGACTATCTGAAGTACTGATACACCTGACTATCTGAAGTACTGATACACCTGACTATCTGAAGTACTGATACACCTGACTATCTGAAGTACTGATACACCTGACTATCTGAAGTACTGATACACCTGACTATCTGAAGTACTGATACACCTGTTACTATCTGAAGTACTGACAGAGAGATAAGGCATCTGACGAAATGTGACTCCGGCGTCCAGGACCTGTTTCCCCGACCATCTCGGCTGATGTTTGTTTAGTAGTGAGTTGTGAGTGTCTGTAAGTTGAAAGCAATCACCACAAGATTGAGAAACTGAGGTGCATGATCCAATACAAAGTCTAAAAGTTCTTTTTAAAACCAAAGTTTGCTAAGTCATAAAAAGTTGGCCAAGGAAATAGTGCGGAAACCCAGAGAGGATATGAGTGAAGCTTTCAAGCAAACACGTACTTGTTGTAGTGTTCACAAGAAGACATGGGAGAGATAAGAATCAAGCCTCAGGCCCTTGAAGTACGGAAGCTTTTTAATATTTTAATCCCGGAACATGTGCTGGTCATCCGTCAGGCAGAAACCACGTGGCAAAGTGTGGTTTAGGTGTCGATAATGTGTCAAACTCCCCACAAACAGTCCAGTTTATGATCACCCTGGTGTTATTTGTGTAGCTAAGGGTCTACACAGGCCGGTGTATGGTCGCACAAGTGTTATTTATTTAGCTTCAGGAACACAGGCTGTTTGTCACCGAGAGACATTGAGAGTGGGGATTACAGCCAACAGGGCTAGCAAGTACATGCATGCTTTAGTGTGAGTGGAAGTGGTTATGTAATGATGATGACGAATGGTAAATCTGCACACTGTACATATCTGCATAGGTCGTCACACTGTGATAAATCCTTAGTCTTGTCTCGTGGCATGGCAGCTGTTGTGATTGCATTTTTTTCTTGTAATGTCGACACTTTAAAACGTTATTCTTCATCTGAAACTTAGTGAAGTCTGGCCACCTTGACGCGGGTGTATGTAGTCAACAAGCTGTAAAACATAGCTGGAGAAAGTTGAAATCAATACAAATTTGAAAACAGAAACCGGACTTAACATACTTCTAGCGATGGAAATTTAATGACACAAACGATAGGTTACATTGAATTCAAGTCGATGCTTACACAGTTAATACATTCTTTATGTTCTAGATGTTGACGAGTATACAGAACTAGCTTCTCACTAATATTTGTGCAAGTATTCACAATCAGGAGTCACGACAATGTGTTCAGCTTTGGAACGCGATATTTTTGTTCTTCAATGCAGTTAGTCTGGATTATTCTTTCCAACTACAATGTTATTATCCATCAAGAGGAGTGTTTGTTTGCTCATGGATGGTGAACATCTGTCCTCACTTTTCTCACAGGGTCATTGTAAGGATGGGGCTCCTCCTGCCGCAGGACATTGTTGTAGATTCAGTAAATGGATGTTTGAGGTGACGAGGGCAGTTGGGAAGTTGGTATTTTACCTTCCACGGAACCATAAACAAGATACTGAGGTTTAACAGTTTGCAGCGCTGTATACAAATTGCTCAATTATCCGTACTTCAGACCACCTCCGTGTGAGCCAAGCCTCCTCCAGGAGAGTTCAGTGTTCGATGCTATGCAAGTGTCACACCAAAAGGTACTTGTCGGTAACCTGCCTGGCGGACCCAACCAACACTGGGGTGCGTGGAGTCGGTGTATTTATGCTAGAAGTATTTATGCTGAAGCGCTGGGCTAGCACTGTAAAATCGTCAAACGTTGAATCGCATTTTAACTGACTTCTTCTCATCCCATTGTTTATTCCCAGGCTAAAAACATCATCAAGCGTGGCCTTGCAGGCGCCTTCGTGTGGTCGGTGGAGATGGACGACTTCAGTGGTCACTGTGGCGGTGCCAAGTACCCCCTGCTCCGGACGATCCACGACATCCTTCTGACCGAGCACGGCACCAAGGTGACCAGTGTTGCCGGGCACACGGACAAACAGCCAGACCCTGGTGAGACTTTGTATGTTTTGGCTTTTTGATTGCTTGTATAATCAGTCTTCTTGTAATCTTTTAAAGTAACGTTACACGTTAATATATTGTTCATTGTTCGTTTAATGATTGTTCGTAACTAGTGAAAACAAATAATATAAGACTTTTACATAAGAAATAAACATGATTTGCTTAAAAAGTAAGATAAGTGTATTTGAAGACTTGGGACAAAGATGCACATTGATGTATTCTATGTTATTTTAACTGAGGATCACCCAGTAACTTCTAATTATGCCAGTGTCATATACCTTATGTTTGTAAACTTCTTATACACTTGTATGCTTTTATATACGTCTTAGGTCGGCGAATTAGCACATTTACAGTAAGAAAATCTTATGAGAGCTTGATCATACGTTGAGATGGATCTTGTCTGACACCTGGTGTCTGTGTACTTATCGTGGGACATGATTCCGTGTCTGGGCGCAGCGCTGTATATATCGTGGTACACTGGTAGGGTCAGCGCTGTATATCGTGGTACACTGGTAGGGTCAGGGCTGTATATCGTGGTACACTGGTAGGGTCAGGGCTGTATATCGTGGTACACTGGTAGGGTCAGGGCTGTATATCGTGGTACACTGGTAGGGTCAGGGCTGTATATCGTGGTACACTGGTAGGGTCAGGGCTGTATATCGTGGTACACTGGTAGGGTCAGGGCTGTATATCGTGGTACACTGGTAGGGTCAGCGCTACATGTATATCGTGGTACACTGGTAGGGTCAGCGCTGTATATATCGTGGTACACTGGTAGGGTAGCATCGTATCGTACACACTGGTAGGGTCAGGGTATATCGTGGTACACTGGTAGGTCAGCGCTGTATATCGTGGTGCACTGGTAGGGTCAGCTGTACGTGTACACTGGTAGGGTCAGTGGTACACTGGTAGGGTCAGCGCTGTATATCGTGGTGCACTGGTAGGGTCAGCGCTGTATATCGTGGTGCACTGGTAGGGTCAGCGCTGTATATCGTGGTACACTGGTAGGGTCAGCGCTGTATATCGTGGTGCACTGGTAGGGTCAGCGCTGTATATCGTGGTGGTAGGGTCACTGGTAGGGTCACTGCAGCACTGTATATCGTGGTACACTGGTAGGGTCAGCGCTGTATATATCGTGTGGTGCACTGGTAGGGTCAGCGCTGTATATCGTGGTCAGCACTGGTAGGGTCAGCGCTACATGTATATCGTGGTACACTGGTAGGGTCAGCGCTGTATATATCGTGGTACACTGGTAGGGTCAGCGCTACATGTATATCGTGGTACACTGGTAGGGTCAGCGCTACATGTATATCGTGGTACACTGGTAGGGTCAGCGCATGTATATCGTGGTACACTGGTAGGGTCAGCGCTACATGTATATCGTGGTACACTGGTAGGGTCAGCGCTACATGTATATCGTGGTACACTGGTAGGGTCAGCGCTACATGTATATCGTGGTACACTGGTAGGTCAGCGCTACGTGTACATCGTGGCGCTACACTGGTAGGGTCAGCGCTACATGTATATCGTGGTACACTGGTAGGGTCAGCGCTACATGAATATCGTGGTACACTGGTAGGGTCAGCGCTACGTATATCGTGGTACACTGGTAGGGTCAGCTGTATATCGGGTCAGTACGGTCAGCTACATGTATATCATGGTACACTGGTAGGGTCAGCGCTACATGTATATCGTGGTACACTGGTAGGGTCAGCGCTGTATATCATGGTACACTGGTAGGGTCAGCGCTACATGAATATCGTTGTGCACTGGTAGGGTCAGCGCTACATGTATATCGTGGTACACTGGTAGGGTCAGCACTACATGTATATCGTGGAACACTGGTAGGGTCAGCGCTACATGTATATCATGGTACACTGGTAGGGTCAGCGCTACATGTATATCGTTGTACACTGGTAGGGTCAGCGCTACATGTATATCGTGGTACACTGGTAGGGTCAGTGCTACATATATATCATGGTACACTGGTAGGGTCAGCGCTGTATATCGTTGTACACTGGTAGGGTCAGCGCTACATGTATATCGTGGAACACTGGTAGGGTCAGCGGTACATGTATATTGTGGTACACTGGTAGGGTCAGCGCTACATGTATATCGTGGTACACTGGTAGGGTCAGCGCTACATGTATATCGTGGTACACTGGTAGGGTCATTTTATGTATATTCAGCGTCACGCACTTTTTATACAAGAAGGTAGAATGGTATTGACAGCTGAACACCTTTTCATACAAGAAGGTAGAATGGTATTGATAGCTGAACGCCTTTTCATGCAAGAGGGTAGAATGGTATTGATAGCTGAACGCCTTTTCATGCAAGAGGGTAGAATGGTATTGATAGCTGAACGCCTTTACGTAGAAAACGGTAGAATGGTATTGACATCGGAACGCCTGTACGTAGAAAACGGTAGAATGGTAAGGACATCGGAACGCCTGTACGTAGAAAACGGTAGAATGGTAAGGACATCGGAACGCCTTTACGTAGAAAACGGTAGAATGGTATTGACAGCGGAACGCCTTTAAATACGAACAGTAAAATGGTTGGAACAGCGGCACGCTTTTAAATACGAACAGTTAAATAGTACTGACAGCGGTACGCCTTTTCATACAAGAAGGTAGAATGGTATTGACATCTGAACACCTTTTCATACAAGAAGGTAGAATGGTATTGATAGCTGAACGCCTTTTCATGCAAGAGGGTAGAATGGTATTGATAGCTGAACGCCTTTACGTAGAAAACTGTAGAATGGTATTGACATCGGAACGCCTGTACGTAGAAAACGGTAGAATGGTAAGGACATCGGAACGCCTGTACGTAGAAAACGGTAGAATGGTAAGGACATCGGAACGCCTGTACGTAGAAAACGGTAGAATGGTAAGGACATCGGAACGCCTTTACGTAGAAAACGGTGAAAATGTAGGGACATCGGAACGCCTTTGAATACGAACAGTAAAATTGTTTGGACAGCGGTACGCCTTTTCATACAAAACGGTAAAATGGTATTGACATCGGAACGCCTTTACGTAGAAAACGGTAGAATGGTAAGGACATCGGAACGCCTTTACGTAGAAAACGGTAAAATGGTATTGACAGCGGAACGCCTTTACGTAGAAAACGGCAGAATGGTATTGACAGCGGAAGCCGTTTCATACAAAACGGTAAAATGATCAAGACATCGGAACGCCTTTACGTAAAAAAATTGGTAAGGACAGCGGAACGCCTTTGAATACGAACAGTAAAATTGTTTGGACACGGTACGCTTTTTACGTACAAAACTGTAGAATGGTATTGACATCGGAACGCATTTACGTAGAAAACTGTAGAATGGTAAGGACATCTGAACACCTTTACGTGCAAAACGGTAGAATGGTAGGCCCAGCGGAACGCATATACGTAGAAAACTGTAGAATGATATGGACATCGGAACGCATGTACGTAGAAAACGGTAGAATGGTAAGGACATCGGAACGCCTTTACGTAGAAAACGGTAAAAATGTAGGGACATCGGAACGCCTTTGAATACGAACAGTAAAATTGTTTGGACAGCGGTACGCCTTTTCATACAAAACGGCAGAATGGTATTGACATCGGAACGCAGTTTCATACAAAACGGTAAAATGATCAAGACATCGGAACGCCTTTACGTAAAAAAAATGGTAAGCACAGCGGATCGCTTTTGAATACGAACAGTAAAATTGTTGGGACAGCGGTACGCCTTTTCATACAAAACGGTAAAATGGTATTGACAGCGGAACGCCTTTACGTAGAAAACGGCAGAATGGTATTGACAGCGGAACGCCGTTTCATACAAAACGGTAAAATGATCCAAACATCGGAATGCCTGTGGTAAGCACAGCGGATCGCCTTTGAATACGAACAGTAAAATTGTTTGGACAGCGGTACGCTTTTTTATACAAAACGTAAAAATGGTATTGACATCGGAACGCATTTACGTAGAAAACTGTAGAATGGTAAGGACATCGGAACGCCTTTACGTGCAAAACGGTAGAATGGTAGGCCCAGCGGAACGCATATACGTAGAAAACTGTAGAATGATATGGACATCGGAATGCCTATAAATACAAAACGGTAGAATGGTAGTGACAGCGGTGTACGTATATAAAACGGCTCGCCTGTATATACATAGCAATTTAGTGGACAGGTTTACACTTTGTAGTAATTGTGAGGTTGGCGCTGACACTACGTCTATGTAATGGTGTACATTTTACTGCAACATCAAAGTGAGTCAGGAGATGAGTTTGTATCATGGCGCTACACCTGTAACAGCAGATGACGGAAGGGACTGAATTCTAAATATTACTTTGCGTTCAAGTGTTATGTTCATGTGTTATGTTCAGGTGTAATATCCAGGTGTTATGTTCAGGTGTAATATCCAGGTGTAATATTCATGTGTTATGTTCAGGTGTAATATCCAGGTGTAATGTTGGACATATAACGGAGCCAGTGCTTGGAGTCGGTGTATATTTTGGCCAGAAATCATGAAATGGTTGTGGTTGTTACACTGCATGTGCTGATTGGCTAGGTGCTACGTGGGTGTGAGAACCTGCTCGTGTGTGGTATAACCAGGCAATATCGAGGGGTGTGTAGCAATGTGTACACCTGCACTTGTCACACTTACTTCCATATCTAAGATGTATTCTTTGATTCTACATTTGTGTTAACGATGTTCTCAGTATGTGACTGTATCTTTAACCTACCGAGACAAAAGTCAACCCATAAACGTTGTTATCCGGCATATGTTCACTTCAAGGCTTACCAATCTGCATGTATCTTTCATGTACACTTGATAATTGATCAGTATTGCAAGCATACGAATACTATGAATACACGAGACCTCATAGTGTACGTTTCAAGATGGTAACATCTCGGTGTCCTTTACTTTATCACGTGGTATATTCTCCAGGCAACATTGACTGCAACAAAGTCGGCCTCGGCATCTACAAAGACGACACGTCCTGCCTCCACTTCAACCTGTGTGTTCCTGCTGACCCCAAGGGCTTGAGAGCACTTAAGATGGTGTGCCCCAAGGGCACCAAATTCGATGACGAACTTAAAATCTGCAACCATGCCAGCAAGATTGACTGTTAACCTGTTAACGGTTCCTATCACTTCATCTCCTAATACCCATGTCTCATCTGTGTTTGTCATTGTAAATACTTCTACTCACTATGTATTGTGATGCTGTCCACCACATCGATGTGCTTCCATCCCAGCTTGACCGCTCATCTCCCATTAATTCACAACTGGTCATCTCAGAGAAGTTAATGATCTTCGTCAACTGCCTGTCAAACCCCCATTTCCTACATATTCTGATATGCAAAATTCAAGGTCAACCAGACACTTCAGACGAAACAGAATTCAGAAACACAGGGCTGAATGTTAAAAATCACTTAGTGTGTTATGTGAAAAACCAGCTACTGCAAAGTCCAGGTACTTTGTACTGTTTCCAGAATAAACTCTAATCCGTAATCAGTAACATTTCCAGTACGAAGATCATGAATGTTGTCGGTAGGAGACCAGGACTTCCTCACAGAGCCATAATATATATCCGTGTCAGCTGGGCTGGAAGCAGGTGATTGGGCGGAGGTGGGGGATCCCCGAGTACAGGATTGGTAGTAGACGGTGGACGGATACAGCACCTGGACAATACGTCCAGTACAGAGCACTACTGTAGAAGCTGAAAGGAATTGTTTAATGTTACATATTTATTCAGACTTTAGTACGATAGGTTACAGGTAATCTTGAGGCCCACACATTCTCCTGCTGGATAGATCAAAATCTCGGTCTCATTAACTCTTCCTTGTGTACAACACACACACATTACTGGGCGTTACTAGACATGTAGTGCATGTCTTATATTAGTTACAGACTCTCCTGATCTCCGTGAAATATGTAAGGGTGTTGTTGTGGAATGTATGGGTGGGCCAGACAGCTGCTTGACTCACCACGTAGCCTATGTATAATACACTTTAATCCGACTAGACCTCTTCCCCAGGACATGTACATTCACCCCTGCTTTCCCTCCAGCCAGACCCATAGCTCTGGTCCTGATCATCGCACGACTGGTTAGATGTGTATATACTGACACCGACATCTAGCACTCATATTCTGTTATCTGTGGAGAACATGATCGTCAATGTACGCGTGTGACGAGTCCCGACTCAAGTAGGTCAACTTGTGGTCTGTCCAGATCTACACCGACGTGTAACGGCTTTCAAACTGTATCATAATTACGAATAAAATGTGATTTTATGATGTTTCTGTCTTATTGACAACGTCGACACGTCAGTGGCGTGAACCCTGGGGTGGAGGGACGCGCGTTGAGAGTGGATCAATACCGCAGATCGGTGATCTGCTTCATACTGAGAATGAGGGATCTCCTGCAGCATACTCGGAGAGCGTGATCTCCTGGAATTAGGAATGTGTGTGATGAATTAGGCAGATGAATGCGCATGTGTTAAACTGGGTGAACACAACGTCACATTACAAACACGTTTGGTGCCAGCCATAGTGTAATCAGGAGGGCATAGATACCGCTCAGCTCAGTCAATGACATGCAGGTGGTCGATAGTGTTCCAACACCACCCAGTGGGACGCGAACTGTGAATACACACTGCCTTCTAGAACATGCCAATGCAATATATGTTGTGGGTAACATCGCTGAGCTTCTGCGCTGGCGGTTATATGCCTCACCTTGAAAGTGTGGGTTCGAATCCCGGATGGAAAGCGACCCCAAACATACGATAATCTGTACTTTCTGTTGCGAGAGGCTGGTATCCTATCACGACCGGTAAGCGTCCATCCCACTTCCCCTACATTGCGGATAGGCACGGTTGCAGTGGACTGGAGGTCAGTTAGACAACCAAGGCTCTAATACGTGTGATTGATGAATAGGGTTCTTTGATGGGCATTTTTAGAAGTTGAGTTGATGAAGAATAATGACAATTATTATGGATATACAACTTCTTTTATTCTGTGGAGGCGACGTTTCGACATAGGTTCTAATGTCGTTGTCACGCCTTTACAACTTCTTTTATTCTGTGGAGGCGACGTTTCGACATAGGTTCTAATGTCGTTGTCAAGCATATACAACTTCTTTTATTCTGTGGAGGCGACGTTTCGACATAGGTTCTAATGTCGTTGTCAAGCATATACAACTTCTTTTATTCTGTGGAGGCGACGTTTCGACATAGGTTCTAATGTCGTTGTCAAGCATATACAACTTCTTTTATTCTGTGGAGGCGACGTTTCGACATAGGTTCTAATGTCGTTGTCAAGCATATACAACTTTTTTTATTCTGTGGAGGCGACGTTTCGGCATAGGTTCTAATGTCGTTGTCAAGCAAGTGACTAAAGAATAAAAGAAGTTGTATATCCATAATAATTGTCATTATTCTTGATGAATAGGGTTGTTGTGGGACGCCGCCGCTAGGAAGGGATCTCGACCTAAGTTGTTCCTGGATTGGTTGAGCTGGAAGAACAGATTGTCATGTCCTACAGCGAGGTGCGATGGCAGGAGGAAACGACAGGGACGGCATACTGGTTGTCTACGTGAGACTATGTTGGCGACGTCCAACTGGACTTCATACTCATGAACGATGACGAACATCTCTTACTGCCAGTGTCGTTTTCAAGAAGATAGACCACTGTCCACAATGGGTGGCCAGCCCGGTAACCAGACATAAGATGACCAGTCCGGTAACCAGACATCAGATGACCAGCCCAGTAGCCAGACATCAGATGACCAGCCCCGTAACCAGACATCAGATGGCCAGCCCGGTAACCAGACATCAGATGACCAGCCCGGTAACCAGACATCAGATGACCAGCCCAGTAGCCTGACATCAGATGACCAGCCCAGTAGCCAGACATCAGATGACCAGCCCGGTAACCAGACATCAGATGGCCAGCCCGGTAACCAGACATAAGATGACCAGACCGGTAACCAGACATCAGATAACCAGACCGGTAGCCAGACATCAGATGACCAGCCCGGTAACCAGACATCAGATGGCCAGCCCGGTAACCAGACATCAGATAACCAGACCGGTAACCAGACATAAGATGACCAGCCCGGTAACCAGACATCAGATGACCAGCCCAGAAGCCTGACATCAGATGGCTAGCCCGGTAACCCGACATCAGATGGCCAGACAGGTAACCAGACATCAGATGGCCAGCCCGGTAACCAGACATCAGATGGCTAGCCCAATAGCCAGACATCAGATGGCCAGCCCAGTAACCAGACATCAGATGGCCAGCCCGATAACCAGACATCAGATGGCCAGACAGGTAGCCAGACATCTGATGACCAGCCCAGTAACCAGACATCAGATGGCCAGCCCGGTAACCAGACATCAGATGGCCAGACAGGTAACCAGACATCAGATGGCCAGCCCAGTAACCAGACATCAGATGGCCAGCCCGGTAACCAGACATCAGATGGCCAGACAGGTAGCCAGACATCAGATGGCCAGACAGGTAACCAGACATCAGATGGCCAGCCTGGTAACCAGACATCAGATGGCCAGACAGGTAACCAGACATCAGATGGCCAGACAGGTAACATTGGCCGAAAGAACTGATGTCTATATTTAAGAAATACAGTATGTGCCACAGTTTAATCTGCTGTACTTGTCATTTACAGTCCTTTTAAAGTTATCAAGAAGCAACCGTGAAACTTCATAATAGTAATTAAAATATCACCAGGTAACCATAGCCTATGTGTAACCGTAAAGGGGTACATGCTGCCACTCTAGAGAGGTAAATAGTTTCGCAAATGTCCCTCAATTGTTACAAAAATCACATGCGCTGTCCCCGCGTAGCTATTTTACAAAACAATTGTCTCGACAATTAAGGCACTTCAAAGACAATACCTTGCATGAACTAACCACTGTGGATGAGAAGCAAATAATCCCCAGTCAGTGTTGCATCGAACGCGGCAAACGAAAATGAATTGCGGCTTGCCGACCAAGTCCTAGACGGTTTATGAAGCATGGGAGATAACTCCATCGGCCTTAGCTTCCTCACCATGTCCAACTGCTCTCTCACGAGTATTCGATAACGGACAATACCAATGTGATCATGAGGACGGTGGTCATGTACGTATGGAAACTTTTAACTGTATATGCATTTGTTTGTTTGTTTGTTTGTTGTTTAACGCCGCACTCGGCAGTATCCCAGCTATACGGCGTCGGTCTGTAAATAATTTAGTCTGGACGAGACAATCCCGTGATCAACATCATGAGAATAGATCTATGCAAGTGGAATACGATGACACGTGTCAACCAAATCAGCGAGACTGACCACCCGGTCCCATTAGTCGCCTCTTGCCACAAGCAAGCATTAAAGGAAAATAGCAGGGTATGAAACTCCCAAAAATTTCAGACAGACCACAGGGCTAGCTTGATGTAAAACTTGCCAGCCCTGACCAAAACTTACCTGCCCACAAAATATCGTCATATACATGATTGTCTATATTGTAACCCGACCGTCGGGCAGGTGAAATTGAGAATCTGGCAGTCTGTGTTGAAAAAACCCGTCCCGGGCTGACCGGTCAAGCAGGCAGGTATTTCGAACGCTGAAAAAAGTGACTGACCTCATATGAATGGGGCACTGAAACTCAATAATTCCCCACTCGACAGTGGTCGATAGTGTGAGCACTGTCCTTGACCGTCTCGGTGCGATGACAACAAGCAGGTATGAGGACGCGCCTGACTTGCCGATACATTCCAGTCAGCAAATAGCAACGTAACATCGATCAGTTGCACAGTACCACAGACTCAGCAATAGTTGATCAAATGTCATTGAGGTGCACGACATTAAATACCCTGTACCCAACAATATCTGTATTAGTTAAGTATTGTTTGTTATGTACATGGGCCCATACACTTCGGTTTACCAAGTAAGTACCCGTGAAGGTCCGGGTAAGAATGAACCTTCAGTAACCCATGCTTGTCGTAAGAGGCGACTAACGCGATCGGGTGGTCAGGCTTGCTGACTGGGTTGACTCATGTCATCGGTTCCCATTTGCGCAGGTTGATGCTCATGCTGTTGATCACTGGATTGTCTGGTCCAGGCTCGATTATTTACAGACCACCGCCATATAGCTGGAATATTGCTGAGTGCGGTGTAAAACTAAACTCACTCACTCACTCACCAAGTAAGTCCCTAATCTCATCAAGGACAATGCACACAGCGTATAGGCATCAAGGCCCTGGGGTCTGGTGGTACGTGCGTGTTGTGGGAGGTTTAACTTGTCAATTTGGACACTAAACAACATGATAATTTCTTTTACAACTTTTTCCGGTGAGGGGTATGCATTTTCCGGTGAGGGGTATGCATTTTCCGGTGAGGGGTATGCAAGTAACTGTTGCATGGCAAGCTTGGAACACAATGGCGGACAGGCTGGTAGATGCAAGTAATTGCGCCACTTGTAAACTGAAGGTTGACGTGAGCATCACTTCACACTTCAGCTGACTCCCTCGTCAGACAATTGTCCTGACATGACCTTACTGTGTAATATTCGGTGTAATATCATCACATGACCTGTCTGGTAGGTGTAATATTCATCAGATTGCCTGACTGGTAAATGTAATATTCATAGGATGGCCTGGTTGGCAAATGAAGCATTTATCAGATAGCGTGTCCTGTAAATGTAATAGTCATAAGATGTCTGTCTGGTAAATGTAATATTCATAGGATGGCCTCTTTGGTAAATATAATTTTCATCAGATGGCCTGTCTGGTAGGTGTAATATTTATAAGATGATCTATTTTGAAGGTGTAATATATTATCAATATATATTCGTTTACTGAACACACGTCTCTCTCTCCCTGGATATGACTGCTGTAAACAGTGTATGAAGTCACTGACCAGGAGGGCTAGTTAGGTAAACATGATGCTACCCCACATCATGCAATTAGTGTGATGTTTGGTGATTTAAAATGTTAAACGCTACATTTGTATTGTAATGGTTCCTAACATCTTTGCGCAACGCTTTTAACCTTGTTTATAAAGCGATCTTCGTGTAAATATCACGAAACCTTTGCGACTTTTAACACCTTAATAATTGACTTCATCATATTCATGTACATTAAATAAAGGACAAATTATCTGAGATTTTCAGCTAGCCAGTCGGGATAGTTTTAACAATTACTGGCTTGATGCATAATCAGCTAGCATTTGGCAAGGTGGCCAGCAGCTGAATGTATGGGCGATGCCACGATGTTTGGACACACAGGATTTGCCTTAATGGTTTAACATTACGTTCCATACCCCCGTACCTAACTCACATCGAGTCAGCCCAATGAGGGAAGGAAGCCGGAGATAATTTCACTTATTATGTTAGGATTCGATGTCACAGGTTCTGTGAAGGAACGTATGAAAAATATATGGAATAGATACGTTTAGAATATTTTCAGTGACTATGTTTTGTTTGACTTTGTTTATCTGGTCATCATTGTATGTCAGCGCCATCATGGTGGTAACACTGCTGGCTGGTGTCTTTCACTCTAGGGAGGTTTCCTCGGGAGTCAAACTGAATCATGAAATTCTTAATAATACACTTTGGCTGCTTTGGTAAAAATGTTCAACCTAAATAGTCACACATATTTTGGCAATTGAGGATGTATCTGGTTTGGTCATTTAACTATTTTATTGGTATGTATCACAGTTATTGCATCTCGACGATACAATGGATGAACAGTCTCGTGAACGTGTCACGTGCTATCTGGTGGTGCTGCCTTCTCAGATTTCTATGAAATGATTCCTGTCGTGTTTAGGATTAATGTTTCTAATAAATGTCCAGTTTTCTTTTGAGACAGTCACTGACGCCTGGACACGTGGTGGCATGGTGAAGTAGGAGCTGCTTCAACTTCTCCCGCTCCTGGTTCAACCGCTGTCGCTCCCTCAGGAGATGCGCGCGCTGTGACTTCAGCTCCTCTGCTCGCTGCAACACAATGAAACATGATGAAACGACATTCCGAGCTGCGCAAGGGATAGGGCTTTGTTGGCTGGTTGCTGGTTTCATAAAGTGGCATTGGTGTTTCTGTGGGAGTAAGGGTGATGGCTGTATGTGTGGCGGTGTGATGGTTGTCTGGGTGGGTGGATGAATGTATTGGTGTCTCAGTGACAGGTTGGATGGATGAATGTATTGGTGCCTGAGTGACTGGTTGGATGGATGAATGTATTGGTGTCTGAGTGACAGCTTGGATGGATGAATGTATTGGTGTCTGAGTGACTGGGTGGATGGATGAATGTATTGGTGTCTGAGTGACAGGTTGGATGGATGAATGTATTGGTGCCTGAGTGACTGGGTGGATGGATGAATGTATTGGTGTCTGGGTGACTGGGTGGATGGATGAATGTATTGGTGTCTGAGTGACTGGTTGGATGGATGAATGTATTGGTGCCTGGAGTGACTGGGTGGATGGATGAATGTATTGGTGTCTTGAGTGACTGGTTGGATGGATGAATGTATTGGTGTCTGGGTGACTGGGTTGGATGGATGAATGTATTGGTGTCTGGGTGACTGGGTGGATGGATGAATGTATTGGTGTCTGGGTGACTGGGTGGATGGATGAATGTATTGGTGTCTGGTGCCTGAGTGACTGGGTGGATGGATGAATGTATTGGTGTCTGAGTGACAGGTTGGATGGATGAATGTATTGGTGTCTGGGTGACTGGGTGGATGGATGAATGTATTGGTGTCTGGGTGACTGGGTGGATGGATGAATGTATTGGTGCCTGAGTGATGTATTGGTGTCTGGGTGACAGGTTGGATGGATGAATGTATTGGTGTCTGGGTGACTGGGTTGGATGGATGAATGTATTGGTGTCTGGGTGACTGGGTGGATGGATGAATGTATTGGTGTCTGAGTGACAGGTTGGATGGATGAATGTATTGGTGTCTGGGTGACAGGTTGGATGGATGAATGTATTGGTGTCTGGGTGACAGGTTGGATGGATGAATGTATTGGTGTCTGGGTGACAGGTTGGATGGATGAATGTATTGGTGTCTGGAGTGACTGGGTGGACTGGGTGGATGGATGAATGTATTGGTGTCTGGAGTGACTGGTTGGATGGATGAATGTATTGGTGTCTTGAGTGACTGGTTGGATGGATGAATGTATTGGTGTCTTGAGTGACTGGTTGGATGGATGAATGTATTGGTGTCTGGGTGACTGGGTGGATGGATGAATGTATTGGTGTCTGAGGTGACTGGGTGGATGGATGAATGTATTGGTGTCTGGTGACTGGGTTGGATGGATGAATAATGTAGTGACTGGGTGGATGGATGAGTGTGTCTGGGTGACTGGGTTGGATGGATGAATGTATTGGTGTCTGAGGACTGGATGGATGAATGTATTGGTGTCTGGTGAGTGACTGGTTGGATGGATGAATGTATTGGTGTCTAGGAGTGACTGGGTGGATGGATGAATGTATTGGTGTCTGGAGTGACTGGTTGGATGGATGAATGTATTGGTGTCTGGGTGACTGGTTGGATGGATGAATGTATTGGTGTCTGGATGTGACTGGTTGGATGGATGAATGTATTGGTGTCTGAGTGACTGGTTGGATGGATGAATGTATTGTGTCTGAGGTGACAGGTTGGATGGATGAATGTATTGTGTCTGGGTCTGAGTGACAGGTGGGATGGATGGATGATGTATTGTGTGTGTCTGGATGTGACTGGTTGGATGGATGAATGTATTGGTGTCTTGAGTGACTGGTTGGATGGATGAATATTATTGGTGTCTGAGTGACTGGGATTGGATGGATGAATGTATATTAGTGTCTGAGTGACTGGTTGGATGGATGAATATATTGGTGTCTTGGTGACTGGTTGGATGGATGAATGTATTGGTGTCTGGGTGACTGGGTGGATGGATGAATGTATTGGTGTCTGGAGTGACTGGGTTGGATGGATGAATGTATTGGTGTCTGGGTGACAGGTTGGATGGATGAATGTATTGGTGTCTGTGACTATTAGTGTGGATGGATGAATGTATTGGTGTCTGGGTGACTGGGTTGGATGGATGAATGTATTGGTGTCTGGAGTGACTGGTGTCTGAGTGACTGGTGGATGGATGAATGTATTGGTGTCTGGGTGACAGGTTGGATGGATGAATGTGGATTGGTGTCTGAGTGACAGGTTGGATGGATGAATGTATTGGATGGATGAATATATTGGTGTCTGGGTGACAGTGATGGATGAATATATTGGTGTCTGGGTGACAGGTTGGATGGATATATATTGGTGTCTTGGGTGACTGGTTGGATGGATGAATGTATTGGTGTCTTGGAGTGACTGGTTGGATGGATGAATGTATTGGTGTCTGGGTGACTGGTTGGATGGATGGATTGGTGTCTGTATTGGATGAATGTATTGGATGGATGAATGTATTAGTGTCTGTGTCTGGATGTGACTAGGGTTGGATGGATGAATGTATTGGTGTGACTTGGAGGTGACTTGGTTGGATGGATGAATATATTGGTGTCTGAGTGACAGGTTGGATGACAGGTGAATGGATTGGTTCTGGACTGGTTGGATGGATGAATGTATTGGTGTCTTGAGTGACTGGTTGGATGGATGAATGTATTGGTGTCTGGGTGACTGGTTGGATGGATGAATGTATTGGTGTCTGGAGTGACTGGTTGGATGGATGAATGTATTGGTGTCTTGAGTGACTGGTTGGATGGATGAATGTATTGGTGTCTAGTGACAGGTTGGATGGATGAATGTATTGGTGTCTGGATGAATGTATTGGTGAGGTTGGATGGATGAATGTATTGGTGTCTGAGTGACTGGTTGGATGGATGAATGTATTGGTGTCTTGTGACTGGTTGGATGGATGGATGTGTATTGGTGTCTGGGTGACAGGTTGGATGGATGAATGTATTGGTGTCTTGGAGTGACTGGTTGGATGGATGAATGTATTGGTGTCTGGGTGACAGGTTGGATGGATGAATGTATTGGTGTCTTGGGTGACTGGTTGGATGGATGAATGTATTGGTGTCTTGGGTGACAGGTTGGATGGATGAATGTATTGGTGTCTTGAGTGACTAGGTTGGATGGATGAATGTATTGGTGTCTTGAGTGACTGGTTGGATGGATGAATGTATTGGTGTCTGGGTGACTGGTTGGATGGATGAATGTATTGGTGTCTGAGTGACAGGTTGGATGGATGAATGTATTGGTGTCTTGAGTGACTGGTTGGATGGATGAATGTATTGGTGTCTTGAGTGACTGGTTGGATGGATGAATGTATTGGTGTCTGTGACTAGTTGGACATGAAATGTATTGGATGGGATGAATGTATTGGTGTCTGGGTGGACTAGTTGGGATGAATATATTGGTGTCTGGATGTGACAGGTTGGATGGATGAATGTATTGGTGTCTTGAGTGACAGGTTGGATGGATGAATGTATTGGTGTCTGGGTGACAGGTTGGATGGATGAATGTATTGGTGTCTTGAGTGACAGGTTGGATGGATGAATGTATTGGTGTCTGGGTGACAGGTTGGATGGATGAATGAATATTAGTGTCTCTAGTGACAGGTTGGATGGATGAATGTATTGGTGTCTTAGTGACAGGTTGGATGGATGAATATATTGGTGTCTAGTGACAGGTTGGATGGATGGATGAATGTATTGTGTCTGAGTGACAGGTTGGATGGATGAATGTATTGGTGTCTGGTGACAGGTTGGATGGATGAATATATTGGTGTCTAGATGGTGACTGGGTTGGATGGATGAATGTATTGGTGTCTGTGACAGGTGACAGGTTGGATGGATGAATGTATTGGTGTCTGGGTGACAGGTTGGATGGATGAATGTATTATTGGTGTCTTGGATGTAAGAATATATTGGTGTCTGTGACTAGGTTGGATGGATGAATGTATTGGTGTCTTTGGTGACAGGTTGGATGGATGAATATATTGGTGTCTTGAGTGACAGGTTGGATGGATGAATGTATTGGTGTCTTGGTGACAGGTTGGATGGATGAATGTATTGGTGTCTTGTGAGTGACTGGTTGGATGGATGAATATATTTGGATGGATCTATTAGTGTCTTGACTGGTTGGATGGATGAATATATTGGTGTCTTGGTGACAGAGTTGGATGGATGAATGGTGTGAACTAGTTGGATGGATAGAATGTATTGAGTGTGACTGGTTGGATGGATGAATGTGAGTGTCTATTGAATGTATTGTGTCTGGGTGACTGGTTGGATGGATGAATGTATTGGTGTCTTGAGTGACAGGTTGGATGGATGAATGTATTGGTGTCTGGGTGACAGGTTGGATGGATGAATGTATTGGTGTCTGGGTGACAGGTTGGATGGATGAATGTATTGGTGTCTTGAGTGACTGGTTGGATGGATGAATATATTAGTATGTCTTAGGTGACTAGGTTGGATGGATGAATGTATTGGTATCTTGAGTGACTTGGTGGACTGGTTGGATGGATGAATGTATTGGTGTCTTGAGTGACTGGTTGGATGGATGAATGTATTGGTGTCTGGGTGACAGGTTGGATGGATGAATGTATTGGTGTCTTGAGTGACTGGTTGGATGGATGAATGTATTGGTGTCTGGGTGACTGGTTGGATGGATGAATGTATTGGTGTCTTGAGTGACTGGTTGGATGGATGATAGATGTATTGGTGTCTTGGGTGACTGGTTGGATGGATGAATGTATTGGTGTCTGGGTGACAGGTTGGATGGATGAATGTATTGGTGTCTGGGTGACTGGGTTGGATGGATGAATGTATTGGTGTCTGGGTGACTGGTTGGATGGATGAATGTATTGGTGTCTGGGTGACTGGTTGGATGGATGAATGTATTGGTGTCTGAGTGACAGGTTGGATGGATGAATGTATTGGTGTCTGGGTGACTAGGTTGGATGGATGAATGTATTGGTGTCTGGAGTGACTGGTTGGATGGATGAATGTATTGGTGTCTGGGTGACAGGTTGGATGGATGAATGTATTGGTGTCTGGGTGACTGGTTGGATGGATGAATGTATTGGTGTCTGGGTGACTAGGTTGGATGGATGAATGTATTGGTGTCTGGGTGACTGGTTGGATGGATGAATGAATATATGTCTGGGTGACTGGTTGGATGGATGAATGTATTGGTGACTGGTTGGATGGATGAATGTATTGGTGTCTGGGTGACTGGTGGATGGATGAATGTATTGGTGTCTTGAGTGACTGGTTGGATGGATGAATGTATTGTTATTAGTGCCTGAATGTCTGGGTGGATTGGTGACGTTATTGGTGCCTCAATATGTGGGTGGATGGGTGACGTTATTGGTGCTTCAATATCTGGGTTGATGGGTGACATTATTGGTGCCTCAATGTCTGGGTGACGTTATTGGTGCCTCAATGTCTGGGTGACGTTATTGGTGCCTCAATGTCTGGGTGACGTTATTGGTGCCTCAATGTCTGGCTGGCGTTATTGGTGCCTCAATGTCTGGGTGGATGGATCACTGTTTGTGTGAACAGAATAGATTGAATATTGTATTGATTGATGCATGATATATAGGTTGATAGATGGGGGCATGTGTAGGCAGATGGACAGTTTGAGGGAAATTCTGTTGTCAGATGGGAGGATAGGTAGGAGATTGTGTAGGCGGATGGGTAGATAGATGGGTATTGTAAAGGCCTATTGGTAGATTGAAGGGGGAAAGTGTGGGTGGATGGGTAGATAGATAGGAGACTGAGTAGGTAGATGGGTAGATAGGTAGGAGATTGTGTAGGCGAATGTGTAGATAGATGAAGCATTGTAAAGGCCGATGGGTAGATAGATAGGAGACTGAGTAGGTGGATGGGTAGATAGGTAGGAGATTTGGACAGGTAGATTGGCAGGTAGGAGGGATATTTTGTTGGTAGATGGGTAGATAGGAGGGAGATTGTGAAGGTGGATTGGAGGATCATTGGATGGGAAAACTGAGGAAGAGGAAATTGATAACATGCTTTAACAGGATAAGACTGATGTGTACGTGAATGGTGTACAAGCCGATATTGACTGAGATACAAGGCAAGTCTCACACACCCTTTCCAGAGTGTTCAGCTGACTCTTCTTCTTCTGACGACTCTTCTTGGCGGCGAGTTTGTTGTTTTCCTTCCGTTGTTCTGCCCTCTGTTTGTCATCTTCCGTTAACTGAAACAACACGCGAGGCAATACTTTAGAAAACAGGAAGATTGAGTAGCACAGGGAACATTCACACAAGTCTCGTATCCTTTCTTCTCCTTCTCGTCGTCGTGAGACCTGGTAGTGACGCCGTTAGCCGCCCACATCACCCATCTGTAACAACATTACGACATTCCCAGGCTCTAGTAGTACATCCACCCTGACCACCCGAGTAGCCTGTGTCGGGACATGTCTCTATGACATGTGACAAAATGTGTTTCCTGGGATCTAATTGTGAGAGCCTACTGCTGGGGCACTGGGAAATCTAATTGTGAGAGCCTACTGCTGGGGCACTGGGAAATCTAATTGTGAGAGCCTACTGCTAGGGCACTGGGAAATCTAATTGTGAGAGCCTACTGCTAGGGCACTCGGAAATCTAATTGTGAGAGCCTACTGCTGGGGCACTGGGAAATCTAATTGTGAGAGCCTACTGCTAGGGCACTGGGAAATCTAATTGTGAGAGCCTACTGCTGGGGCACTCGGAAATCTAATTGTGAGAGCCTACTGCTGGCCCTGGGAAATCTAATTGTGAGAGCCTACTGCTGGGGCACTGGGAAATCTGATGTAGAATACACGTGCCGCCAAACACAACTACAAACACCATTTATATAAACTCTGCACTTCAGTTTACGTTATATAAATAACACTGTACATCCCTCTTACAATGCCAGAGACAACAGGTACCAATCAGTTATAAGAAGTATAGACACACACACATGCCATACATACATCGGTGCGATTATAGAATCTGTTCACTCACAAAGTAAATAGTTTTATTAGAAACACATATCTCGAGAACTATTTCGTATCCTCTCTCTCTCGATCCTCAATGTGAAGGTCTGGGTTTGTTATCCGCGGACCACTGCCCTTTGATGAAAATTGTTGAGGAACATATTGAGGTTCATATATGTTTTACATGACAGTATCCCGTTGAATATCAACTCATAGATGACTGTCAGCTTGATTTCATTGATGTCAGTTTTACTGGAACTGGGTCATCTATCGATAACATGCTGATGTCTATAAATAGTGCTTACGTAACACACAGAGCCGTACAGTAAGCATGCAATCAAGCTGTGTACAGGGCAGCAAGTACATGTATATGTTGTTGACAGCTGATACTGACATGGGCGTGTTCATGACGCTACTGTGTGACACTCCCATAAGCTACATGTCACTACGGAGAGGCGAAGGGTGTCTAGCGTGTTCATGACGCTCCTGTGTGACACTCACATAAGCTACATGTCACTACGGAGAGGCGAAGGGTACATGTCTGTGTGACGCCCCATAAGCGGACGGAGTGGTGAAGGGTGTCTAGCGTGTTCATGACGCTACTGTGTGACGCCCCCATAAGCTACATACATGTCTCGACGGAGAGGCGAAGGGTGTCTAGCGTGTTCATGACGCTACTGTGTGTTACTCCCATAAGCTTCATGACTCGACGGAGCGGCGAAGGGTGTCTAGCGTGTTCATGACGCTGTGTGACGCTCAAATTAGCTACATGTCACGACGGGGTGGCGAAGGGTGTCTAGCGTGTTCATGACGCTACTGTGTGACGCTCTCATAAGCTACATGTCTCGAGGGAGAGGCGAAGGGCGTCTAGCGTGTTCATGACGCTACTGCGTGGCGCTGCAATAAGCCACATGTCTCGACGGAGTGGCGAAGGCTATATTATATATATATTTATGATTCATTAATAATCTGTTCGTGATAGATGTCAGATCTAAAACTTCATTTCTTATAACGTTTTCTGCACTTACAACTCTTAGGTATTGGAGATTATCAGCTTTTGTGATAAAATCACTGTAAATTGTCATTTTATTACAAGCCATATAACACAATATGAATGTCGGTAGTGGACCACCCATATAGGAACCGCAATGCCGTGTTTGTATGTTTCCTTTGGAGATACAGGACCCGAAGCATGCAGTTGCAGTATCGGGTTGGTTCCCCGCCTGCATGCGTTATTGCACTGGGTGAAGCTGCACGTATTTCTGTGCAATTATAATCCATCATTCTCTTTCATGATGATATGCCACCCTGTGTAGTATGTAACACAAACTGGTTTATGAGACTACCGGGAGAACGGGGCAAGCCACAACACTGCACACGACGCTCTAGTTACAACACCATTCATTTTCAACTCGGCCATTGCTGATCCGCATTGATAAACATTGAGCTACATAAAGGTCACCGTGACCCAGTTTCCCCTGTACAGTATACCAAAATACAATTTCAAGCTTCTATGTCACTCCATACGCCTTTACCTAAAAACTGAGACTGGGATTGATTTTCTCCGCCCTGTCAAACCTCATCCTTACCTCGTACTCGGGTGTTTTTCGCCATAATTCTTCCGTGTCGTATGGTCCGCCCCGCTGGTGTAATAATGATTTCAGATCTGTTCGCAGTTCATCCCCCGAACTTGAACTGAACTCCTCGAGATTAGGCAGGGACATGACGGTAACTGACTCGCCGGCCGGTATCCGAACGATTGAGGGCGACAGTAAGTGACAACAGCAAGTATATATACGCAAAACTGCCGATCGTGATGTGTTGCTAAGAATAGACTGTGATCCACACACTAAATGGCCGAGGTCGGTGTGGTGAGTTGTCGGCGAATATGTACTTCCTGGCTGGATGTTTACGATCGAAGCATTTTCACTGTGTCGTAGAGGTGACAGCTAATATTGTGGGAATTTGGGTATTTTTTTTTAGCAGCAATAGCATCGTCTTTGTAATGACAGCGTATAAATATATATTTAATAAACACGTTGACATTTAAAGGCACAGTCAACGCCTATTTGAAACAACTGTTTAAATATGTACGGTATAGCCTAAATTTATTCTTTACCAGCGTCATAGCGTTATTTACCACAATACGTGGATCTAAATATTTGAAATACGTTCTGTAAACTAGGTCAACTCTCCATTCTGTGGGACCGTTTGTTGACTTATCCATTTTTGGGGACAAGCGGAGATATCATAGTAGTGGAGATTATATATCTTGCTACGATTTTGAAACATCCGGAGTTGCCTTATTGCTCCTAACTGCATGTATTATATGGAGATTGCGAGCGAGACAGGCCTCCAACTGTCTGTGCTGAGTCTATGGGATAACCTCCCTGGTTGACTGCAGGTATCGTACCCTGACGTACATGTCGCTGCTCATGATATCAGTCACTGGGTTGTCTGACCCCGAGTGGATTATCGACAGGCCGCAGTCATACAGTTTTCATCTTGCTGACTGTAGCATTAAAAACGAACAGTTAGAAAGCACACTCGATAGTAATGGTCAGGTTGGGGGCTCCCTCCTTTAATACACTGGGTGGGGTACTGAGGCCGTACATGTCACTGATGTAAGCAGCCAGGTGGGTGATCACACATATCAATATGTATGTATACCCTCAAATACAACATTCGTATCAACGTCAGCAACTGGCCATATCTCAGTAGGATGCAGAGACATATTCACGAGATGTAAACAAAAAGTTTTTGTCTGTATCACTGACAGAAGGCAACACGACATTGACAGACTTAGACATTCTATTAATAGTAACACGTCATACGTATGTGTTGGCGTTACGCACCGCCTGTGGCCGTCAGGGCAATATCGCACTGCCAGATGACTGTGGGTTTGAATCGGTGGATTCACTTGAAAAGGTTGGATTGCCACAACACCAGGTAAAACAATAATATAATGTGATACGACTTAAAGTTAAATCCGCGATATCTCATATGATTATAACAACTCAAGCACCTGTTTCTATCGACATACATCCCGGAGTCGACAGAGGTGCCACTGTTCATGTAATATGACAAAACTTGCGACATTGCAGTAGTCACGTGACAGAAACTTCCACACTTCTCTCCAGTCTTTTTTGAAATTTTACCTATTGGGAAAGTTCACCTTCAGATCGAGTCATGGTTAGTGACTTCACCAGGAAGGTTTCCACACAGCAACAATAGATGCACTCCCTGTGGCTGTTACCACACTGGACAAGTTCCTTCTGTCGTCGTGTCCTCTGAATCATCCTCAGGTAGAATTCCAGTCGATCTGAAACCATCAGCGATTGTGCCAAGCTGTCAATGTTTATGCTACATTGATTTCTTGATACCTGTTCGTAATTCGGAAGTGAAATAATGTTTATATTCGTTCAACATGGAACTGACAATGTGATAATGACCTCATGTGACCACGCGAGGGACACATTGTCAGCAGTGGGGGAATATTTAACACATCAAATTGCCTGGCAGTTAGCGTCCTCACCCACATTGCACAATATATGTACTCCCATACTCCCAACACAGCCGGTGTGTCTCTCTCTCTCTCTCTCTCTCTCTCTCTCTCTCTCTCTCTCTCTCTCTCTCTCTCTCTCTCTCTCTCTCTCTCTCTCTCTCTCTCTCTCTCTCTCTCTCTCTCTCTCTCTCTCTCTCTCTCTCTCTCTCTCTCTCTCTCTCTCTCTCTCTCTCTTCTCTCTCTCTCTACCTCTCTCTCTCTCTAATCTCTCTTCTCTCTCCTCCTCTCTCTCAGGAGATCCCGGAATCTCTCTCTCTCTCTCTCTCTCTTCTCTCTCTCTCTTCTCTCTCTCTCTCTCTCTCTCTCTCTCTCTCTCTTCTCTCTCTCTCTCTCTCTCTCTTCTCTCTCTCTCTCTCTCTCTCTCTCTCTCTCTCTCTCTCTTCTCTCTCTCATTTTAATACATGCTTAATACTCCTTACCAGCCGTGAAAAGTCAACCTCATTAATATTGCGTGATTCCGCCTCTATTCTCAGGAGATTCCCGGAATTAAAGAGGCATGATCCTATTTAAACGTCACATGTCATTTTGATTCATTTCATGTCTTTGTTCCTGCAGGACCAAGGTCGTGGTCGGTGGTCGTTGGCGGTGACGTAAGCGCCGTCAAGGGATATCCCAGACATGGATGACAAGTCTGGACTGAGTGCTGACCACGGTAAGGTTGTAATATTCTCCTGTTGGAGGCACTCAGAAACACTACGACCCCAGTGTGTCAGAAACACTAAACTACGTGACTGTCGGCGGGCACCACGTATGCCTCCAGGATGTTGTCACGGTAGAAATGCCCAGTGACACGTACGTCAATAACGCATGTAAGGTGCTCTGACAGTCACACTGATCCCAGTGACACGTACGTCAATAACGCATGTAAGGTGCTCTGACAGTCACACAGATCGGACAGTCACACTGATCTAACAGTCACTCTGATCTGACAGTCACACTGATCTGACAGTCACACAGATCTAACAGTCACACACATCTGACAGTCACACAGATCGAACAGTCACACACATCGAACAGTCACACACATCTGACAGTCACACACATCTGACAGTAACACACATCTAGCATTCACACACATCTAACAGTCACACACATCTGACATTCACACACATCTAACAGTCACACACATCTGACAGTCACACAGATCTGACCGTCACACACATCTGACATTCACACACATCTAACTGTCACACACATCTGACAGTCACACAGATCTAACAGTCACACACATCTGACATTGACACACATCTAACAGTCACACACATCTGACAGTCACACAGATCTAACAGTCACACACATCTAACAGCCACACACTTCTGGCAGTCACACACATCTAACAGTCACACACATCTGGCAGTCACACACATCTAACCGTCACACACATCTGACATTCACACACATCTAACAGTCACACACATCTGACAGTCACACAGATCTAACAGTCACACACATCTGACATTGACACACATCTAACAGTCACACACATCTGACAGTCACACAGATCTAACAGTCACACACATCTAACAGCCACACACTTCTGGCAGTCACACACATCTGGCAGTCACACACATCTAACAGTCACACACATCTGAAAGTCACAATTTAAAGATCTGACAGTAACACAGATTAAGAGTGGGTCTCAGTGGGGTATCAACGTTAAACACAGGGTCTACACACATATCTAATAGTCACACAGATATGACAGTCACACACTTATATATCGTCATCGTTTTGTTGCCTACTCACAGAGTGATACGAGGTGTCGTGATGGACATCTCTCACGCTAACCTTGGAACCAGATCGTGCGTTGTCAGTATGAGACCCTTATAATACCAACTATACCATTGCACATCTCAAACAATGTAGTTTCACCTACCAACTCATCCCGTACGGAACGGCTGACACATGAATATAAACAACTGTCTAATTTTAGCAACACGCCACTCTGTGTAGCATGAGCTTGATGTGTATACCAACACAACACTGTAGCCTACTCTCGTACATGTTTTGCTAGTTGTTTGTAGTACCGGCTAGAGCCGGTTGTAGCCGGTTAAATGAAGTTGTCAAATCATGTGATGAGAGTATTGTTGTTAAATGCCTTGTCACACTGACCGTTAAGTCCTTTTACCGAGCCGGGGTAGTATGTGTCCTTGGCGTTTTTGACACTTGGCATTGAGGAGATACAGCAATACAAAGGCTGTATATGGGGTCTCAGTAGGGCATGAACGTTAAACACAGGGTCTCAGTAGGGTATCAATGTTACCCACGGGGTCTCAGTAGACGAGCGCTATAAAGTCATTTTGTCAGGAAGAATAACGCACTAGAATACATGTATGTTACTCTACCATTGCAATAATAAAACAAACGTGATAATATTCTCATTTTACTTCGTCCTTTTTGTTTCGGGAGAGGATTGTACTTGTCTTTTCGAGAGGAGGGGTTTTATGTGAACCGGCATCATTTCTCAAGGATATTCGTTGGATGGGGATCTAAGCGTTCAGTCTCCATGATCTGCTATAGTGTGAATACACGGACGTTGCTAAATCAATGGGTCACTGATATTCGGTGGTGACACCAGTAAATGTCGAAAGTTGTAGTAAGTCTTGTTCTAACAGTTACACTCACAATTCCCACATTTTCCATAAGTACTTCTTTTGAAACTATTACCACACTCACACTGTTGCTGTTATACTGACAACAGTCTGTACACAGACGAGTCGGGAGTAGGCATTCTAGTGATTGACTTCAGGAACATCGGTTTACAACGATATGCATCAACCAATTTTGCAAACCCAACCACCCGATCCCGCTGTTTGCACATTGCGACAGTCGGACTTTAACCGTGTTTGAAAAGTGCAGAATGTAAATGTACGCGTAGTTACTGTATAGCTACTGAACGTAACGGGACAGTGCTCCACATAAAGGGAAACCCATGACTGGAAAATCAACATCATCCATGTTGTGCAGAGACTCCCATTACTTTGAATGTATATGTACAGAACCACATATGAATTTGATTTCCATCTTGGGTGGATAGATCATTTACCTTGACACTGATAAAAGATATGAGGTGTTTTTATAGATATTCACAAATTACCTTTTACCCAGTCCTCATGTAACCAGTGACATCAGAAGCAGCACAGTATGAGAAGCAATGTTCGTGTGACCAGTGACATCAGAAACAGGACAGTATATGAAGCAGTGTTCATGTGACCAGTGAAGAAGCAGGGCCCTTATTCTCTAAACGTTCGTAGCCCTAAGAATTCTTAACTTTGATCGTAGCTATTGTGTTAAGAATGGGCTTACGAAGTTTGTAGGGCTACGAACGTTTTGAGAATAACTAGCCAGGACAGTATGAGAAGCAGTGTTCATGTGACCAGTGACAAAAGAATCAGGGCAGTATATGAAGCATTGTTCATGTGACCAGTGACAACAGAAGCAGGACAGTATATGAAGCAGTGTTCATGTGACCAGTGACAACAGAATCAGGGCAGTATATGAAGCTGTCCTCATATAACCAGTGACATCAGAATCAGGACAGTATATGAAGCAGTCCTCATGTGACCAGTGACAACAGAAGCAGGACAGTATATGAAGCAGTGTTCATGTGACCAGTGACAACAGAATCAGGACAGTATATGAAGCAGTCCTCATGTGACCAGTGACAACAGAAGCAGGACAGTATATGAAGCTGTCCTCATATGACCAGTGACAACAGAAGCAGGACAGTATATGAAGCAGTGTTCATGTGACCAGTGACAACAGAATCAGGACAGTATATGAAGCAGTGTTCATGTGACCAGTGACATCAGAAGCAGGACAGTTTATGAAGCAGTGTTCGTGTGACCAGTGACATCAGAAGCAGGGCAATATATGAAGCAGTGTTCGTGTGACCAGTGACAACAGAATCAGGACAGTATATGAAGCAGTGTTCATGTGACCAGTGACATCAGAAGCAGGACAGTATATGAAGCAGTGTTCATGTGACCAGTGACATCAGAAGCAGAACAGTTTATGAAGCAGTGTTCGTGTGACCAGTGACATCAGAAGCAGGACAGTATATGAAGCAGTGTTCATGTGACCAGTGACAACAGAAGCAGGACAGTATATGAAGCAGTGTTCGTGTGACCAGTGACATCAGAATTAGGACAGTATATGAAGCAGTGTTCATGTGACCAGTGACATCAGAAGCAGGACAGTTTATGAAGCAGTGTTCGTGTGACCAGTGACATCAGAAGCAGGGCAATATATGAAGCATTGTTCATGTGACCAGTGACATCAGAAGCAGGACAGTTTATGAAGCAGTGTTCGTGTGACCAGTGACATCAGAAGCAGGGCAATATATGAAGCATTGTTCATGTGACCAGTGACAACAGAATCAGGACAGTATATGAAGCTGTCCTCATATGACCAGTGACATCAGAAGCAGGACAGTATATGAAGCAGTGTTCATGTGACCAGTGACATCAGAAGCAGGACAGTTTATGAAGCAGTGTTCGTGTGACCAGTGACATCAGAAGCAGGGCAATATATGAAGCAGTGTTCGTGTGACCAGTGACAAAAGAAGCAGGACAGTATATGAAGCAGTCCTCATGTGACCAGTGACATCAGAAGCAGGACAGTATATGAAGCAGTGTTCATGTGACCAGTGACATCAGAAGCAGGACAGTTTATGAAGCAGTGTTCATGTGACCAGTGACATCAGAAGCAGGACAGTGTATGAAGCAGTCCTCATGTGACCAGTGACATCAGAAGCAGGACAGTATATGAAGCAGTGTTCATGTGACCAGTGACAACAGAAGCAGGACAGTATATGAAGCAGTCCTCATGTGACCAGTGACATCAGAAGCAGGACAGTATATGAAGCAGTGTTCATGTGACCAGTGACATCAGAAGCAGGACAGTGTATGAAGCAGTCCTCATGTGACCAGTGGCAACAGAAGCAGGACAGTATATGAAGCAGTGTTCATGTGACCAGTGACAACAGAAGCAGGACAGTGTATGAAGCAGTCCTCATGTGACCAGTGACAACAGAAGCAGGACAGTGTATGAAGCAGTCCTCATGTGACCAGTGACAACAGAAGCAGGACAGTGTATGAAGCAGTCCTCATGTGACCAGTGACAACAGAAGCAGGACAGTGTATGAAGCAGTCCTCATGTGACCAGTGACAACAGAAGCAGGACAGTGTATGAAGCAGTCCTCATGTGACCAGTGGCAACAGAAGCAGGACAGTGTATGAAGCAGTCCTCATGTGACCAGTGGCAACAGAAGCAGGACAGTGTATGAAGCAGTCCTCATGTGACCAGTGGCAACAGAAGCAGGACAGTATATGAAGCAGTCCTCATGTGACCAGTGGCAACAGAAGCAGGACAGTGTATGAAGCAGTCCTCATGTGACCAGTGGCAACAGAAGCAGGACAGTCAGTCCTCATGTGACCAGTGGCAACAGAAGCAGGACAGTGTATGAAGCAGTCCTCATGTGACCAGTGGCAACAGAAGCAGGACAGTGTATGAAGCAGTCCTCATGTGACCAGTGGCAACAGAAGCAGGACAGTGTATGAAGCAGTCCTCATGTGACCAGTGGCAACAGAAGCAGGACAGTATATGAAGCAGTCCTCATGTGACCAGTGGCAACAGAAGCAGGACAGTATG